AATATTTCCGAACGGTCTCCGAATAAAGCTTAGACCGGAGGGATAGAACTTTTTAAGAAAAGTACTTCGGTAAGAAACGAAAAGGAGATTATTATTTTTAACCCCTTGGCCTATACGATATATGCCAATTGCGTGTTTTTGCCACGAGTCAGACTCGTGGTTATGGGTCAAAGGGTTAATATAAAAGGAGATTAACGAAAGCCGCTCCGAGATCGGAAAGGAGACAATCAATATTTTCCGAGGAGGCGACAAAGATAGAAAATAATTACAAGAGAGGTCTTCGGTCAAAAATCGTCGCGATTTCGCCGGACAAGGAAATAGAGTTGGAAGAACAGAGGGACATACGTCTTTCGCAACGCGGCGCTCGGTCCGCGCTACGCGATGCGGAAACGGACCGTTCGGCCCCGAGGGATAAGGAAAAGGAAAGGTTCTCGCGCACCGGGTGACACGGACGGCCCTCTGGCCACCTCGTGGCTTCCTGGTTTGCGGCCTCGCGAACTCGAGAAGTTAAGGATTATTTCCTAAAAAAGAGGCTCGGGGAGGAGCTTGCAAGGGACGTGCGGGGTCCGGATCACACGATCCGGGCCGCAAAAGGGAGACTACTCTACTCGCGCGGAGCTCTTTTATTCCTTATTTTTCCCTGAAATAAATTTTCCCGACATATATGTTCCCGAAAACGACTCGCCGCGCGGACGGCCCAATCGGCCAAGTTTCTGGCGAAGGTCCCGATTTCCCCGGGACCCCACACCCAACCCTCGTCCTCCCCGCGATTACCCTGCCTAATATGGCTTAAGGCCTAAGGGATGCAAAAAAAAAATACCGAAACGGTCGGTTCATATTTTCTTCCAGGTACGCCACTGAAGAAAGAGAAAGAGAAGTTAGTCGAATCCGACGTTCCCGATAAAATAATTTAAATGCCCCGTTTCGGCAATAGGTAGGGAAAACGTACTTCGGGTCGACTAATTCCCCTTAATACTAACTATCAAAAATAAGATTACTAAAAGAAGGGGTTCTCGTTCTCTATCCCTTCTACGCTTTCTTGAGTTCGCGTGCCCTGTATACGATAAGGAAAAAAAAACAAAAATTATAAGGGACATCAAATAACATTGGACCAGCGGCCCCACCGCCCCCGACCCCTCCAGTCTCCGCAGCCCGGACCCCTGATTCCTTGTGACTGGTGTAGAAGGGAAAAGAATAGCGCCGTTTTGTGACGGCATTTCCCCCACAGAAATGCCACGTCACAATATATATAAAATCCTGCACGTGCATCGGCTCACGTATCGGACTGAGACCGGGAGGCCCAGGTCACTCAAAAGAACTCATAAAGATGCCATTTTTTTTCTTAAACTCAGATAATCAAGGGCCACTCTGTTTAAGTCCCGCGTCCCGCCGACCCCGAAAAGTAATAAATAAGGCACTACCACCAATGTCGACTAGTCCGCACAGAACTTGCTGAGAGTTGTCCCCACATAATTTCTAATACCATTTTTACCCTTTTCCTTAATCGTAAGTAAGGCGCGGGTGCTTGGTCTAGCACTCCCTTCCTTATACGAATTCCCTTTCCCCTCTCCCCATTTATAAACAAATCAATATCAGTACACCTGCTGATTCCCCCAGAACCTAGAGCTAAACCAAATTATTGTAATCGAATAAGAGGAAAACTAATTGAGTAAATTCTACTGACAAGGAAATATTCCCAAGTGTCCGCCTCCGATCTTATTGAGTTTCATATATGTTGAAGAACACAAAAATCTAAGAGAAACGAGTTTTTTTATATCTGCAATGGACCACATTTAAGGGGTGAAACAACCCCCCAAAGTTTAGCGAAAAATCGGTTTTTTAAATATTTTTCGTAGGAGCAGTGGAGGGATTTCGACGAAACTTTGCATAAACGTATTCTGTATAAGGACGGTGACAACACAATATTGTTCAGCAATGTTGCACCCCCTCAAGGGGGTGAACTACCCTTCAGGTGACATTTTTTTGTAATATCCATTAAACAAGCACTCCTACTTAAGTTCCACTTACGCGATGTGATTGCTCGCAAAAAATTAAGAAATACGTGTTTTTTGCTTTTTGCCAATAAACATTTACACATCGGTTGTAAACAATGAATGTAGGTGGTATTAGGGTATATCCCGACTACCTTTATTGGGTTATATCGTGACCAATTCATCGTACATAAGTCGTGTCAACGTGGTAATTCTTCAAAATGTCATTGATTTTCATAACATGCAATTATTTATAAATAAATTAAAAAATAGTTTCAGAGGCTAAAATTGTTTCGCAACGGATTCGACGATGCAGTCATCACCCGTTTCCAACTAGTAATACAATCTCCGTGGTGAAACGATAAAATTGGATTTTCAATACCACCTACATTCATTGTTTACAACCGATGTTTAAATGTTTATTGGCAAAAAGCAAAAAACACGTATTTCTTAATTTTTTGCGAGCAATCACATCGCGTAAGTGGAACTTAAGTAGGAGTGCTTGTTTAATGGATATTACAAAAAAATGTCACCTGAATGGTAGTTCACCCCCTTGAGGGGGTGCAACATTGCTGAACAATATTGTGTTGTCACCGTCCTTATACAGAATACGTTTATGCAAAGTTTCGTCGAAATCCCTCCACTGCTCCTACAAAAAATATTTAAAAAACCGATTTTTCGCAAAACTTTGGGGGGTTGTTTCACCCCTTAAATGTGGACCATCGCAGATATAAAAAAACACGTGTCTCTTAGATTTTTGTGTTCCTTAACATGTATGAAACTCAATAAGATCGGAGGCGGACACTTGGGAATGTTTCCTTGTGAGTTACCCCATAACTCTTCCCCAAACGTAACAATACCATATAAAGCCGAGTACACATCTGAGCACGAACTCATACTGGATAATTTCTTGGATTTTCATAACAAATTTTTCAATAGCCGAGACCAGAACAAAAATAGTGTGGAGTTCTCGTATTTCGATCGATATACAATTATTGAAGATCTTGATGCTAGAAACGACAGTGTAAGGATAATTGCATAACAATTTAGAATACTCTAGTAATCGAGAAACTCAAATTTAAACAGAATAAAGGCAAAACAAGTATCTTATGAGCTTCTATGTTAAATCGAAGATAACAAGAGATCTCGGAGAAAAAATTTAGTTGGCACTGATATTACAGATGGTACAGAGTGACACTCTGTAATCAACTAGAGCAACAAAAACCATGAATCCAGAGGGTTTCTGGAGTTTCACTTCGATTTCGTTACAATAATGATTGTGCGGAAACGATATATGGAACATGTCATTTGGTACAATACCCGATATAATTCGACACAGCTGTAATTTTAAATACAAACGTCGATAACGTAGGTATCTAACATTTTGTTGCCGACATCGATTAAATTGCTCGACAGGTTTCACTTCATCTTAAGGGTAAATGGTAGTACGCGAAAAAGCTCGAGTTGATCGTGTTGCTACATAACGGCAAGGAGGGGCAACACTCACGACGTAGCACTTATGACGTAATCGCCGTTGCTGTACCGTGCCTTGAATCGGCACCACTATTTTAATTTCGAGCAGTTTTATCCCAGGAACGTCGAGTGTTATAGTCACACGGTGCCGAGCCTCAATAAAAATGGCATACTTCACGTAAAGGAACAAAGACATTGTTAATAAGAAATTCATTAGATAACATATATCTATTGTACTACACAACAAAAGAATTCAACATTTAGAAGCTTTGTGCGTTTTTCGTGATGCGCGTACGTATTGCATCTAATGGGAAATTCTACAAGGGCCCCGATAAATACGGTCCTTAGACCATATGTATCTAGATCTCGCATTGGACCTCCCACTCCCATCTTTTCAGTAAGCAAAATGGCTTTAATTTTGTGGGTGAGTCATTGTCATAGGAATACAGCCAGTACGACTAGTAAAAATTCGTATTTTTACTCATTATTTATATCTTGTCTGACAAATAATTAAAAAATCCAGCTCCAGACGAAAAGTTATATTCTCAGAAGGCTGTGATTTCATCCATTCAAGTTATTCAAAGTACATCCTGTACTAACATTTTTGAGTGCGAAGTTTTCCCGCTTCCAGTTCTCGTAGGTGTGAAAACGCGCACAGAGAAAATGACGTTCCATTCCCCCTTAAGATGATATGAAAGGCACTGAAAAATTTAATCGAGGTCGATAAATTAAAATTTATCTCTACCCTTTTTGGTGGTAACGCCATTTTGAATATTCAAGTAGTAACATAAGCTGACACGCCACGTTACCGACATTTGCATTTATGTTGACGTTTGTTCCACTCTATGTTGAGAATTATACAAAATGAAGCGTTCCATATATCATTTCAGTAAAGTACTGATCAAGAAGTCGATGTAAAACTGTCGAAATCCCGTGAATTCATGATCTTTTATACTGTAATGGACCAATGACGCCATCTGTGACGCTAGCTGCAATTAATTTTTTGCTCCAAAAACTCGTGTTACCCACGGGACAAACTAGCATTTTCTTGCAATCGATCGTGAAAGAATTTTCCATATTTTTCTATCTGATTCTGTAATATTCCATTTCTCTAGTATTGTAAATTATTCCAGCTAGGCCCTGAAACTCTTCATTTTTTATTCTAAGCCTTCAAAAAGCATAAAACAAAAAACGAGCACGGACGTCATGTTGGTTCCAGTCCATAAGTAAATAATATTTTTATAAGAAATGAAATTTCATGAGTTTCAGGACCCTACCTTAGGGCTTCCATATTCACGTGGTAAAATGTGAAACTAATCGGTACATCCATTTCGAAGAATTCTTTCACGAACAATTGGACCTCTCAATATATTAGGAGACCGGAAAGAAATCCATTATCGATTATCTTAGTAGTAAGTATACAAAATAATTGATAAAAGAAAGTAATGACTTCTTTCCGGTCCCCCTAATATATAGGCTGACTTTTTCGTATCACCTTTAGCAAGTGCACATGCATGATAATAGTTTCCGTTTTAGGTTAACATCGAGGAACTTGTTTCGAAGCAAACGGAGTTCAGTGACTGGGGATGTCGTATAACAACTTACGAAGACACGTGGACTCACGCTCGACGTAGGAGACGCATGGCCATACGTTCTAAAGATGCGAAAACATCTGATGAACCACGATCCACCAATACAACCGATCGAGTAGAAATCGAGGACTCCTTGGACCGTAAAACTCCAACTCCCCAAGAAGTCTCTGATCTAGGAACAAATAACAATACTGTCCCAAACTTGCAACTAGATATTAAATGTCCATCCATGTCGAAGAACTCGACCGAAGAACCTTTCCTAATCTGTTGCCTGTTCATAAATGAAATGGATGGTACATCCGATGAGGAGAACTCGAGTGAAAGTGAAAAAAGTGACTTCAAGTTGAGTCTAATCTTCGAAAGTGGTCGTGGTGGCAAGAATGCTCTGCAAACTTTACGTCAGTATCTGATAAATAAACTGAACATTGTAAGATCTAGTTGCAAGAATCCCGAAGTTCCAACGAAAAGGAGCAAAAAAGAGGAAGCCAACGAATGAAGGGACTCCCATGAAGATACACTGGTGAAACATTTGAACCAATGGGGTTGTTACATGACTGCTCGATAAGAATTTCTTATTTCCAACCCTCGTCGAATAGTACACCCCACTCAGCAATGGTCTCACCTTCGAATGAAGATCCACCTACCACAACGAAGTGAATGAGAAGACGGGCAAAGTTAATTTTAAAACTGTTTTATTAAGTAAAAGCCATTGCGGCACTAAATGAATCTTTGATTTTCATACAACGGCCCCATTCTCGGTAAGAAAATGCAACGCATGAGAAAACGGTGCGTCTCGCCACTCCATCAAATTACGTAACAAACGAGTCATGCATTCAACTTTATTCCTTCTCTTTCAAACAGTAATCCTTACCGGCTAGAATTTCATTAACGTACAACTTCTGCTAACAAGTACAGTATATGTAGAGTAACGTATAACATGTAACACGCGGGGCTAGTAAAAAGAATTCTCCGACTCTTATTTTTGGCATTAATGCGGCGCGTCCTCTCCCCCGTGTTAATTCTATGTATAATAACAGGTGACTCGATTTCGCAAAGAGAGGATTCGCGTGGTTTTCCATCCCTCTTACGGTTGGACAACGCGCTTGTCCCCTCCCCGAGCTGCTCCAGAAAATTACACCGAGAGACTACTCGTCTACGAAATGTCACCATTGAACCCAGGCTACGTGAGCCGGCCAAGTGCTACTCCGTAAAAAAAGCTCATGATTTGAATTTGGACGCAATCGCTGTAGTCTCACGAGACGAAAGAAAAATCGAGGCCGACTGAAACGCCATTCTCGGTTTAAGGCGATGTAAAGGTGGCATCAAGGAGGACCCGTTTATGAAACTTATCTCCGAATTGGGTGTACGTAATTGGTTTAAACCTTAAAATGTGAATATAGATGCTATGTGGAAGGTCTTCACGCCCACGAAATTTCAATTTTAAGATAATTTGTTTATATCTATTTTCAAAATTGTTATAAAAAATGAAATTTCGAAGATTTCAGGACCAACCTAAAGGTCTCCTTATTCATATGGTAAAATGTGAAACAAATTGGTACACCCAATTCGGAGAATACTTTCACGAACGACTGACTCAGATGCCACTTTCGCATCCCGTTAAGCCTTGTTTATGCTTCTCTCCTTACCCTATCTTCTTAACCCAGCTTAATCTTAATCGTTCACTGTAAGGAATTTAGGGGGAGTACTTACACTAAAGGTTTAGGTTAAGGTAAGGGAAGAATAGGCTTTGAAGCCTTCACAATTATCTCGCATAAGCCTAAAAATAAGTGAAACGGTAAGTACTGATCAATGAAATCGCAGAAAGTTTAAGATAACGTCCATGTCCGGCAATTTGACTGGCCAATTTTTACTATTATGCGAGGTATCTATAAATGCCTTGCACACACTTCGCACAGAGTGACCATAAGCATAGCCAAACAGTTAAACATATGTCCAATCAGAGATGAGCGGGGAGATGGTTTCCGCCTTTATTTGAAAAGGAGGCACGGTCCACTGGCGCCCTCTAGGTTCTTCGCGCCCCTCTAAGAATTGGAACTGCTTTTAAAGGGGGCGAAATTTTCGCGATCGGTAAAACAATCTATGCGGGTGTGCCGCACATAACAACTTTATTTGGTATATTCGTAGTCTTTTTTTCCAACCTATATTGGCCCTGGTACTAAAAACAAAAAGACGTGAACTTCATCCTGTCGGTACTGTGCCGTATTTGAAATCTGCAGACACGTTTTTCTTTACCGATAGAGAACATTTCGCCCCTTTGAAAGCACTTCCACAGCACTAGTAAGCCGTGCCTCACTTTCAACAACGGCGTGCAACATCTTCCCGCTCATCCTAGCCCAATACACAGGCCCAAAAACGCACAGAATGGTAAGCAAAAGAAGGCAGCTCTACATGGCAGGCGCACGAATACAAAGTTGATATTATCGATGATATATAATAAACAAAATACGTGACTCACATGTGTAATATAAAAATTCCGAGTTTATGGAATTTTTCAACCACTTTATCTTCCGAAAGCCTATTTATCGACTTTACAATACTTGCGATCATCATGTATCTTCAAATTCGTCGGTAGATAAAGTTTTTAAATGGTGCCTCGTGTTGAGCAATTTAATTGGCCAATTCTAAATGCTATGCACATGGGCACTCTTACGCCAGATATGTAAAAAGGCCTTTAACGCTCCCTATGAATACCTCAAATTTAATTTATGCTTCCGTCCTAACCCTAACTTAGCCGTAACTTAACTCTCCATTACCCTCTTGGGTCTTTTTGATCTGCAATATTTTCTGTAGATATTTTGATCATTATTAAACAGCATATTTTAATATTTCAATTTAAAAGCTAGTGGATAATATATATCAGAGATCTTCAAAAGTAGCCCTGAATTTTTGTTAACATTTTTAAAAATGTGAAACGGAAAGAAAATGGGCCCAGACAAAATGTGTCCAAGAGGGCAAGGAAAGCAATAAAAACAATGGCAGTCAATTGTTAGCAGTTAACACGTTGATTGTCACGGTGGTCACCAGTGACCGGCAACCGCCTTGCGATAGTGCACTCGTCTTTTATTTTGGCAGTCAACGTGTTAATTGTTTGTTTCTTTTTAACATTGCAGTTAATTGTTTCCTGGAAAGAATTCATAGGAAGTATTTATGCTAAAAGTTAGGGTCAACTTTATAGTTACGAAGCGCTACTATAATGGCCGCCTTCATTCCTATACATTCAAACCAACGGATAAACATTGTATTAAAAAAAATATTAGCACTACACGAATTTGTATAAGGAGACATGATACTTCCTGTGGTTGGTTAGACAAAAAGTGGCCTCAGAATCGGGACCCACGGACAGGATTGGCCAATTACGGGTTTTTCAAGGTTTTTAACGTATATTGCGTAGATCAAGGCGTTTACCGTAGAAAATCATAAAAAACTAATAAATTACGTTTCCAATATGGTGAATGCCGCAGATGTACAACATACGGCCATCCGCTAGGTTATGAATGTCTTTTAGTACATATGTAAACAGATAAAAATTTTTAAAGAATAATTTGGCACTTGTATTAAAAATTCTTTCAACTTGACGCTGTTTAAGCTCGGATTTCTAACTGGATTGATTATTTTCTATTTAGAAACAGAAGGGCATATACTTCGCGCTCGCGTAGAGAATTAGGGACGGGTTTATACATATCTAACCCTGAGACCATGTATATCTAGACCTTGCATTGGACCTCCCACTCTCAGATTTTCAATAAGCAAAATTCGTTTACCCCTTCCACTGGAAGGTAGTCTACATAAATATATGGTTTAAAATCTGATTGGGTCCGAGTGCCGTCGGCACACGTAGATCATGAGGTATTCGAGTTTACCGCTTCCACTGCTATGCGAGATCTCTATCATATTCATAGTCTATGATCCAACCCTGACCATGGATTTCTTATTTTTGCTGATTTAACAATGCGAGCGATATTTCCGGAAAATATAGGAATTTCGATCCTACGTGACTACATTTCCTATCGATTTAAATTACCTACAACGCTTTAAATTGTGTACAATTAAGGTACACAACGTGTGACGATAGTCCACACATATTCTGCACAATGTGATATTTTTAAAGTGACAAGGACTAACGAACACTCTGGCAGATGAAAATTTTGAATTACAGTTTCAGTGAAACAGCGCTCTCGGCACAAGATCAGCATAAATCCGAAATCTTAGATCCTTAAGTGAGGCCAACTCCAATACACGGCATTGTATCTGCTTGTACTATTTCGTTAATGCTCCGCGGCCGAGCTATCCGTTCAAGCCATAAATGTAAAAATATATGGTCGAAGCCCAAAACCAGAGGGGTGAGTACTCAAGGCCGTGTCCAAATTTGTCAAAAGTTGCATCTAATGTATACTAGCTCCGTACTAACTTCGCCCATTGTTACTTATGCGCATGTGTCAAACATGATAGGAGAAAAGTTCCGACGACGTAACTTTCTCGCAACTTTTTCCGCCATCTTTGAACTCCGACCAATTTCTAATTCGTTGGTACCATCTAAATTTCGTCAATTTTGAAAATATTAATGATCGTTTATTTTCATATGTAATTAGATTTATCGTCTTTTCAAATGAACATGGTACAATATAATAACAGCCATACAGTAGCATTTGATTGACTTCGACGAATATTGTAACTGGGAAAACGATATCTGTCGAGAGTTAACAACGCGCATCCTCAAAAATAATTACACACATTAGGAAAGCGGTGTGATATTAAATTTGTACAATAGAACTCGTAGTCACGGCTTATAGAGCGCTATCCTTATTGAAAAAGGAGTCGAACAGTCCTGTACTACATTTTTCCTACAGTGTATAAATTTCCTGTAATAACTAAGCGACGCACAACCAACCAATCACTTTCCCGAATGGAAGGCATAGAAGGGGGGACGCTGGTGAGGCTGTTACACCACAGACAGCCGAATGCAGCCCTACCGGCGTTCTCTCCGCTATGCGTTCCATTCCGGAACGCGATTCATTGGCTGTGCTTCAATTGGTTAATACAAGAAATTTATGCACTGTAGGAAAAAATAGTGCAGGACTTTTCGACTCCCTTTTCAACAAGCGTTGTATAAACCGTAACTGCGAGTTCTGTTACACCCTGTATATTACTTACTAAACCGAATTCGGACACGACCTAGATAAGGGGAACTACAAAGTAGTATAAGGAGATACGTCATGTATCAAAATCGTCTGCATTTTAGGGTCTAAGGGCTCCAAATCTTTTCCGGTCTAGTACCGAGAGCGCCTCCTCTATGAAATTTTGCATTTAAAATTTATCGTCTGCTGGCATATGTGATAATCTTTATCATGTTAAAAATATAACATTCTGTATATCATGCACGGATTATCGTCTTGTTATGCGTGCCTTAATTGAAAATTTGAAGCATTTTAGGTAATTTACATCGGGAGGGAATGTTTTGGTAACGTAGGATCGGAGAACTATAATTAGTCACAAGGAGCGTTCGCATCGTTAGATCAACGAAAATCTGAGATCCTGGGTCCTGATTTTGGGATCATTTTCTGTGGAATCGACACTGAAATATATAACAAAACTGGAACGCTTGCTTGCGTGGTCAGCTCGAGCTGTCCTCGAAGTCATCCCCATTACTAAATTTACACTCCTATCATACATTTTTTTCATCATAGAAAACTATCCTTAGATATTTATGGAGTACAATAATTAAAGGTAAATAATGCAAAACGTATTACATGATTTTACTATACAGAAATATACCGTTCTGTTAAACTATTGTACTACCGATACGGTTTACACTATCGCTTCACTGCATTCCACCGAACTTTCCTTTCGTAGTGTACAAATGATGCGCCCGCATCGTTTAAACAAGCACAGGTATATTTTCTCCAATGGTGGAACAATGACGGAGAGTCGGCTATCGGTTATCTTTGTCGCATCAATGGTTACTGAACCTTGGGCGAGAAGGATACAGGGACATCCAAATCTATTTCTCCCTGGAACAAACAACCTGGCCGTGTATTTTTAAGCATGGCGAGCATTCCAGTTTTTACTGTATATTTCAGTAGGACTCGACCATGTCTTGCCTTTATGTCTCCTTATACCACTTCATGGTCAGAATAATAGGAAGGTAGCCATATTGATCAGTCAAAATCCTGTTGGGCTGATTTGGTTGTCACTTTAGGAGTAACTAGTAAAGAACGATGCGAACTGTAAACAAATCAATAGTGAACGATGTCTTGCCTTTATGTCTCCTTATACCACTTCATGGTCAGAATAATAGGAAGGTAGCCATATTGATCAGTCAAAATCCTGTTGGGCTGATTTGGTTGTCACTTTAGGAGTAACTAGTGAAGAACGATGCGAACTGTAAACAAATTAATAGTGAACGAAGTACAATATGCCAACTTGTAGCATAAAGAAGTGTAAAAATTGCTTTTCGAAGAGAAGTGACAAAAAGAAATAAGTTAGAATTAATAGGAAATGAAGGTTATCTACCAGTCAGGAGGCTAAAGAATTGGCTGACCAATATGGCTGCTCCCCCCCCGTTCTATAGGGGACTCATCTAGATTAGACGTTGGGCTCCGTTCATATATTCTTTTGTCCACATGATTCAAGCGGACTACACCAAAGAACTCCGCCGTAGTTAAAGAGTTAAGATGGAGAAAGCACAAACGCTCCCTATGAAACTTACAGTGAATAATTAAGATCAAATTATACTTAGGACGGAAAAAGAAACCAGGATTTATAGTGAACAATTAAAATGGAGTTACGACGGAAATATAAACTAGGCTCTAAAACGAAACCGAGGATGCATTGACAGCTTGCGAGGAAAAAACTAATTCGCCGATTTACTTTGATGTGGTCTAGGAATAGGGAATAAGTTCCCGTTTAAATCGCTTAAATCGCTGCGTGAACCGGCCGTCCTTAGGGACGGCAATCGGTACGTATAAAATATCGCCCCAGCCCCCCGCGGTTTTCGTATGCATTCATTAGTTTCGACGTTAAATGTATTTCCTATACGTACCATCCCCGTTACGATTTCAAGATTGGAAATTGATTTTTACCGTGCCTCTATTATACCTTCGTTTACATTCGAAGGGCTATCCTGATGTCTATCGTGCACTCCTGCGTTAAGGGGATGTGAATGTGGCATTCGAAGCGTCAATCATTTATGAAACTTTTCTCTGAATTGAGTGTACCGAATCGTTTCAAATTTTACAATGTGAACATAGAGGCTATAAGGAAGGTCCCGATACTCATGAAATTAAATTTTTTACAACAAATTTTCAAAATATCTATAAACAAATTTAAAAAAAAGGGAAATTTCATGAGTCTCGGGACTTTCTTTACCGCTTTTCTATTCGCATTGTAAAGTTTGAAACGATTCGATATACCCAGTTCGAAAGAAAATTTCATAAACGAGACTTCATCGATGTCACTTTCTGATCACCTTAAGATACTAAACCGTTTGAAATTTTACCACTTGAATATAGACGCCCTAAAGAAGGTCTCAACACCCGTAAAGTATAATTTTTTATAATGATATTAAAAAAATGATTATAATACAATTGAAAGAAAAAGACATTTCATGGATATCAAGACCTCTAGGGTCGCTATGTTCTCGGGGTAAAGTTTCAAACGATTCCGTACACTTCGGAGAGAAGAATCATAAACGAGACATCTCAGATGCCTCTTTCGTATCACTTTAACACTAACCGTACCGGAATTTCACATATACCTAACCATACCGTAACCAGGCAAATGACCGGTTACGAAATAGACGTTGTTTTTATGAAAGGATTTGTCAATTTCCTGTACAAAATGGCACACAACATAATTTAGATGTAATAATTAAATACTCTATCACATATTTTATATTTTTATGCAAAATCAATATATTGAATATCATTAGATTCAATCACTCCTTGTCCTATTTCGTTATTCTGTGACTGTTCGATCTGCACTCTGTGACACTTAAAATTACCCTGCATTTAGATTTCGTTTAGATGCTGCATTTAGATGTATACAACTATAGTCTTTTAGATCTTACTTAAGTTCAGAGCTAAAGTTCCAGGCATAGAACTTTAGAAAAATATGTAAATTCGTCGACCGGTCAAATGACCGGTCGCGGTAAGCAAGCCAGGTGATAAATTTTTCTCAGTAAAAAAACAACAAAAAAAAACTGAAAATCGACAAATTGATTAATCAGATAATATAAGAATTTACGTAAAGTTAGATGAACAAGAAAATAATAACGAATGTACAATTTTAAATCATACTTTGAAACCGGTCATTTGACCGGCCCCGGTACGGTTAGTGTTAAGGAGATGTGAATGTGGCATCTGATGGGTCACTCGTTCACGAAAAATATCTCCCAAACTGGGTGTATCGAATCGTTTCAAACTTTACATGATTGTAGAGGCTATAAGAAAGGTCCCGACACTCATGAAATTTCAATTTTTATAAAAAATCTTGAAAACGTATATAAACCAATTTTTTGAACATTGAATTTTCATTAATGTCAGAACCTTCCTTACAGACTTCACATTCACAGTGTAAAATTTGTACGGATTTGGTATATCCAGTCTGGAAAAATGTTCATAAATGAGACCTCTTTGGCGTCATTTTCACCTCACCTTAATGTGTGACCAGATGTGGGCGTTTTTGCGTATACGAACGTGCGCTTACAAACGACCATGCGTGTAAATTATCTCGTCCTCGAAAATCTTTATTCGTGGACGGAAAGTCGCGCTCAAGCTGTACACTGTATCACGTAAACTTTAATGGTTTTGGCGGATAAGTTTACACTAGACATTCGCATACAAATCATTCAACGGACCGACATATGACGGATCTTGTTCGCGCATCCTTAGAACGTGCGCGCGCATAAAATTCACGTCCAGACGTGAGCATTCACACGCGGGAAAATTCTCATATTCTGACGTGCACATTCGTACACACGAAAATGCTCACGTCTGAACCCCCCTTCAGGCTCAATGCACACATGCGTGTTTTTGCCGCACGAAATTGCGATTTGTAATACTATGAGAGTTAGATAAGAGTAGATAAATCATTAAACACACGACTTCGACGTCGTTGCAATGCCGCGCGTCCATGCTACGTGCACTTTGCGTAGCAGCTGCGGTATATACCGATACAGATTCAGTGCATTGTTATACGTGGTCCTATTTAGTCGGAACGTTCATTTACTGCGTAGCAGACACGCTGGAGTCCAATTTTGATGACATTTTTTTATACGGAATTTCTCATCAGTGACCTGGTCCGGACCAAAAAAAAATCGGACCGAAACCGTTATTTTTACCATTAAACCGGGATTGATACTGGTCAACAATTTATTGGTTAGGCCGAAATCGAACTGTTATATTTTTTTTTTTATGTGATATTTTCAGTCCCATTTGGAGAATGCATTAAAATACTCCGCATACTGGTATTTGTTTTCTTCCTGGGTCGCTTGCTTGGAGCTGTGTTGGTAACTGTGTTGAATACTATGGTTGAAATTGATTTTACTGCAGAAAGCGGTGCTGGCCAACGGTATCAATAGCAATCGAATGTAATGTACAGAATTCCGCTGCTAAAGATTTTCGGTAATTAACCGCGTGATATTTTTCTTGCGAGGTTCTGTGCCAGTGGAGCAGTAGAGCCAACTAGAATTTCTGCCGTGTCACCTCATTGGTACCTCGTCTTTATTTAATGGGAACAAGCCTGCTGAGTAGCCTGCTTCGTCTGAAGTGAAGTCTGCACTAGTGATGTGACGAGTCGAGTATTTTAACTCGTTAAACTCGAGTCAAGCATGTGTTCGAGTCAACTAGAGTCATTTTTATTGAAACTCGAGTTATTGGTACAAACGAATGCGAGTTACGAAAGTAAGGGCGAGAACGAGTTACGAGTGTAAGAGTGAGACCGAGATATCAATCGTACCTTATTTGTTTATTTGAGTAATCGTTATTCGAATTGTTTTACTCTCTAACTCACCAGTAATCCAACGTCGCGTCGAATGTATGCGGCACCGAGTTATCAACTCGAGTCCAAACTCGAGTTGACAATGCTTTCGAATTCGAGTAACTCGAGTTGGTAAAGTATTCGACTCATCACATCACTAGTCTGCACCGCAACTTGCTTGATACCGTACAGAGCACCCAGCACTGTTGCCTGCATGACAATAATTCCAGCAAGAAAACAAGTACCGTCTGCGGCGGGCTTTAGTTTCTTAAATTTTAATGCACGACATTCACGAGAGAGCATTTCACTAGTATGCATTATATAGGGTGTTACAGAAATGGTGAACACGGTTTACACAGTGCCATTCTTGTTGAAGAAGGATTTCCCCAACGGAGCGCGATTGATTAACTATGATTCAATTAGTTATTCCAGGAAAATTATGCACTGTAGGAAAAAATAGTACAGGACTTTTCGTCTGCTTTTTCAACAAGGATACCGCAGTATAAACTGTGTCCACCATTTCTGTTATACCCTGTATATAGAGCTCGTGAGAAATTTACTCGTATGACACCATACGGTACATGCCAGTTACGAGAATATAAATAATTGAACGACAACCGAAGACCAACGCAAGAATCAAGAGCAACCCAAAAATAGAAATCAAAACCGTTAAAAAAAAACCAAGGTCGAATAAAAACCGTATCAAAACCGTTATGTTTCTATCCAAGTTCCTGAATTTTTATTGATGACTCTGCGGGGAAAAAAACGAACAGAAACGTATAGGAACGATCAAACTCCGTTAAACGTATTCTTACGATGATCGCCCATTACATGTTGCAGGTATACAGAACCGCACAAAAACAAATAGGCCTGATAGCCACTCTGCTCGTTTTTGTCCTTTTTTTTAGTATGGAAAATAAAAAACTTTTCCGGAGATTCTAGATGTTTTCAAAGAAGAATACTACGACCGCACTAAAAAGAAGAGTGGTTGTCTCAATATTTATCGGGTTTTCGATTCCTTTAGGATATTCGATTTGTTTTGTTTTGTTGCAAAATAGAAAACATACGCTTCTCCTATGACATGCGTAAAAACTACCCGTTTCTTTTTCTAGATGTTCATCTTGAATGACGACACAGTACATGCTATGGGTGTTCTTACCGCAGTGTACGAATTCTTCAAGTCAACTAAAACACGCCAGTGTGCACCAGACCTTGTTACAACTCCCCAGAGACGAGTAACGAACGATTTTGCAAGTTCTTCGGCACCCCGTTTCCGAAGAGCTGCTCCGAGTTTTGGAAATCATCCCAAGGAAGCACCTCTTCGCTACAATAACTCGTCGACAGGTGCTTCCTCATCTCCTTGACCAACATGAGGGGGATCTCGACTGGTTAAGCCTCAGTTCGCCGCGGTCTTGCAAATTTCCCGGTATAGAGACCTCCCTTTAGCGTCCGAAAGGGTACATAAGCGACCTTCAAGTTAATTTGTCCGCTCGCCCTCCGATTCAGTCGGTTAGAGAACATTTGAAAGCGGGTCTGGGACCGAAGGGGTGATCGATGCAGCCTGTTCGTTAACGCTCTGCTGACCGGCCACGAATTAACTCGTGCTCATGAAATTACGCGCGTATTCTTGCATAAAATTGCCGGGCAACAATGCATTAATTTCGAGAGACATTAGCACGAGACCTCCCAGCCGACCGAGGGATATACGCGATGCGCTGGAAAAAAAAGAACGAAAGATAAGAACTAGTGCTTACAAAAGAAAAGAAAAACTGCCTTGACTATGATTTCGATTACACGACAAAGTCGGACTCGCGTGTCCCCCTTTAGCGGGACGCGGTTCTCGAAGGACTAGGGATTAACGATTCCGTCTCTCGTCAGGGCCGAGCCTCAAAGAGAGCTCAGCTCTCCGCCGCGACTTCTATGGGGGTCTTGGTCGGCCTGATCTTCTCGTTGTCAATGCCTTCGACCTTCTCCTCGGGCTTCCGGGGCTGCGTCGCCTCGAGCTCCTTCTTGTTCTCCGTCCGCGGGGCCTTGAGCTCGCCATCGGGTGACTGCTCTTTTTGGCGCTTCTCGATTTCGGCCTTGAAGTTCTCGATGTCCTGCTGGCTGATCTGCACGAAGAGGATCCCGTTGATGACGTTCAACATGTCCAGGACCGAGCCCATGCTGGGCGGCTGTATCTGGATCGGCGGCAGGCTCACTCCGGACTTGCCGGTGTAGATCTCGTTCATCTTCTTCTGCAGGACAACCGCCTGCTGGGTCAGATGTCTCAGGCAATCACTGCTTTCCCGGGTTTTCTCGTGATCCTCGCCCAACTGCTGCTTGTATATCGCGTAGGTCTCCTTCTCATTGTTCAGGGCTGCCCGGAAGTCGCCCATGCAGGACTGCGTCCGGGCCACCAGGTGATACGAGACCGCCACCTTTAAGGATCTGGGCCCGTGGTAGCGGAGGTTCAAGGCCAGGGCGTGCTCCAGGAACCGCAGGGACAGCTCGAATTCCCCAACCGCGTGGAGGATCAGCGAGATGTTGCTCTGCAATTGTTATATTCCAAGGTAAAGTGAAACACGTCGAGAAATTTGATAGACGTCAGTAAAAATAATTCTTCTAAATATCTACGTTGCCGGCGTTCGTATTTATATTGACAGATGTGTCGAATTATATTGGGTATTGTACTAAATACCACATTTTATATGTCGTTTACGTACAGTAATTATAAAGAAATCGAAGTAAAACACCAGAAATCCTCTGGATTCGTGGTTTTTTATGCCTGAATTTTATGACTGCAGAGTACTACCTTGCGCCATCTGTGATTTCAGGGGTAACTAAATTTCCTCTCCGAGACCTTGCGTTACCGTCGTTTTAGCATAGAAGTGCATAAAACACTTTTTTGCGTTTATCCCATTCAAATACGAGTTTCTGGATTACTAGAATGTTCTAAATTGTTGTATAATTATCCTGACACTTTCGTTTTTCATATCAGAGCCTTCAATGGTTAGACAGCAATAGAAATATGAGAGCTCGACACCATTTTGGTTCTGGTCTAGGCTAAATCAAATTTTGTCTCGAAAATCCAACTTTTGAAAGTCTCAGAATAATTCTTAGATACTTTAAAACTGCGTATGTTATATCAGCATTTGTCCATATTTAAAGGGTGATACAACCTCCTAAAGATTTTCACAAATTTTACGTAAACGTGTTTTATAGCTGAACCTATCGAGTGATATCAACGCAACTGTTATATATGTCTGGAGCGTCGATAGCCCATCCGCGTTAATTATTAGTATAAATTTAATCTTTTATAATCGCTCAAGTCAAGGCCCACGGAAACTCGAGGTCCTTCCCACGCGTACCGAAGGGCCCGAGCCATCCTGGAAAGGGGGGCAATAAAACTTACGAGCCCGAGCATTCTCAAAGGGTCTCTTTTCGAGGATTTTCGCCAAAGGTCCGACATGACGTCTGGCGAACAGATTTTTTAACTTTCTAAAAATTCCGAAGCTCGCTTCTGGCGACCAGACGCCACTCGAGGGTTTTTTCCGCGAATCCGCGGCGTACGTGACCGGCCGTTTCGCGGGTGCCTTCGAGGGCGGAAACCCTTCGGGAATTTTTCTCTGCCAATGAGAATGCTCGACTCAAGGTCCGACTTCCTCCCTCCACCGAGTTGGAGGGAGAACTATGCATTCGGATATTTTTTAAGACATTTTGTAAAAATCAGATTCCAGCAGAAAGTTGCCGAGACAACTTCGGGTCTCTTAAAACGTTGCCGAGTCAACGTAGATTCCAAAGGAGTGTTGCCGAGTCAACATCGAGTCTCGCTTAAAACGTTGCCGAGTCAACGTAGATACCATCAGAAAGTTGCCGAGACAACTTCGGATCGCTTAAAACGTTGCCAGGTCAACGTAGATTCTCGAAGACCGTTGCCAAGTCAACATCAAGTCTCTCTTAAAACGTTGCCGAGTCAACGTGGATACCAACCGAAAGTTGCCGAGACAACTTCGGATATCAAAAACGTTGCCGAATCAACGTACAAAAGGTCCAGTTGCCGAGCCAACTGATCAATGTCATAAAATCACGCATCTTCCCTTGTCCGTAAAGGAAATATAGTTTATTGTGTCACTAAAATCCGGAATATTTTATTCAATAGGCGAAACCAGCTGCTGGCGGTTAATTCCCTCTTCAGCAAAACACTATTCGAGCCCGTCTTCCCCAGCCCGAGGATTTACGACCCTCGGGGATTGATTGACAATCGCGAGTTGGTTTAGTGTCGCAGAACAATGTCTATGCAGTGGCGGTTCACTTTAACGGGCAAAGAAGTCATGGGACTACTATAATGAACCAGCCATTCAAGTTTATTTTTACTTCTGAAACATTATTCTCAACTAAACATTTCCGACCAATGTTTTATGCTTTTAAAAGTTCTATTAAATGGCCATATTTGTTTCACCTTGAGGGAGGAATCGAGTTCAATATATTTTTTTTTAATGAAACGCCCCATTTTTATCATGCAGTGTTAATTTACATGTATATTAACCCCTTGCCTTACGATTTAAATTCCAATAGCGCGTGCCATAAACAACAAAAATGTCGGTCATACATCGGGCCATTTCACGGTTTGGCTGAACGTTCAACGTCTCACACATCTCTCATACGTTTTGTTTAGATTTGGCCCGATTGACATACCACGTCTCTCACACGTTTTGTTCACGTTTGGCCCGATTGATATACCACATCTCTCACACGATATTTTAAGTTAAGAGATTAAGGGGACGTGAAAATGGCACCCGAAAGCTCAATCGTTCATAAAACTTTTCTCCGAAGTGTCTTAAATCGTTTCATACTTCAAAATGTGAATATGGAGACCCTAAGGTACGTCCTGAAACTCGCGAAATTTCATTTCCTTTAAACTATTTTTAAAATACCTATAAACAAATTTGAAAAGAATTTATATTTCATGATTTTCAGGACCTTCCTTATAGTTTCCCTATATAGTTTCCCTATTCCCGTTGTAACGTTTCTAACTATTCGGTAAACCGAGTTGGGAGAAAAGTTTTATAAACAAAACCTCTTCGACACCACTTTCACATCCCTTTAATATAGAAGTTTTGCAAATGTGACCTTAAACATTAAAATACGCCATGTAGGGTACATTAAAACAGTGAGCCGTGGGACAGAAAAGAACGCTATTTATCTGTGACGCACATGTTTTGCAGTCGTCTCCTAATTGAAAATACTATTTACAATGCAACGAAATGCTTCAAAATCGACAAAGACGAATGGACATTGACATTTTTAGTGAAGAAAGCATGCTTTGAGCTGTGTAATTAGTAAAAGATGCAAGAAATGGATGTGGCATGCAACGATGCGTTCCATATAGAGTAACAACTTTGATATTAGCAACAATGCCAAAGTCGCCAATTTTCTAACGATCTAAAATCTTTTTATAAACCAAATATTGAGCTAAATTTTCGTTTGTTTGAAGAGTGTAAGTCACGTTAATCACTTTATAGACTTATATGTATTAAAGACCTTGTTCAATAATATTAAAAGTAATAGTTTTTCGTGTGTTTCATTATACCGCACGCTCTGTTTCACTATACGTCATTGTGTGGGGCACAGGGAAATGTATACATTTCTTATAAATATTTGAAATTATAAAACAATTCGACGATACTGAAAAAATAAATAGTACTTTTCCACATAGTAAAACGTCAATTTAACAACATGTACTGTGTTTCATTTTTCTAAACATTAGAGCCCATACTCATATCTCACTTTTAGAATTAAAAGGCCTACTTTAGAGTATTGTTAAAAGCGATCCTACTTATATGTTGCTTTTAAATCACTTTTATAGAAAATCCTGAAAAGAAGCTATAAAATACGTATTTTAGCAGCAATACCTACTCATACCCTCTTTTAAGTTTTTAGAGCTTTTTGGATAAAATTGAGCGACGATTCCCTAAAAGCAGATAGGAGGACTTTTATATCGCTTTTAGCCGTCAAAATGATACCTCAAAGTTTGACACCATTTAGTTGTCACAATCGTACATGAAAAATGGAGTACAGTAACGACATTTTTAACAAAGCGAAAACTCGTGAAGTGAATATAGTGCATCAATTAAATACCAACGATTTTTGAAATTGAATTTATGTCGTTCTTAGCTAACCAAGAAATTGGGCTTTATTCCGTTAAACTCGCTTTTTTATTTTTCTGGCAAAATTTAGCAGACTAAACTTTTGGCATACGAGAACGCATGCGCTGGGCAAGCGAAGAGCATGTGCGTAATGCAGTCGTCACATTTTTCCGATGTTGGCATATCACAATTCGAAAAAGCGGTCTTTTAACTAAAAGTGGACCTAAAAGAAGGGACACCCCTCTCTTAATTTACGCGGCACTTTTTTTACACGAGTTTCTTTTCTACGCGGTTATTTATAACACAATTTACGCGATAGTTTGTATGCGCGATTTTAATTTACGCAATTGAAAACAAATTATCCGAAGAAATAAACATTAACAATTAAAGTGATGTCGAACTTCCAAATATTTTAAACGATAAAGATGGTGCCAATTAAAAATAAAGGGTTGAATATATTGAATTTTAGTGACGTCAAATAAAATTTACTTTTGTTTCTGAAACGTCATTATTTTTTTTCTTAAACCATTTGAAATAAATATGTATTTCTTAAACTTATATGCACTAGCCTTTATTTACAATATTTTTTCGTTTATACTGACCGACTTTATTTACGCGATTTTCATTCGCGTAAAACGAATCCTCGTGGAACGGATACTCCGCGTAAATTGAGGGACGCCTATATGACTGTGCCTTTTAGCAACGGTCCAATCATATTTAATTAATGGACCCTTAAAAGCACCCATGCAAGTGAAATGTGAGTAAGAACCTATGCTCTTAAAATTATCGTGGATTTAAACTTTTTCATTCCAGTGTGCCCCAGTTTCCCCTATATTAGAGTATTCATATATTTGAATTCCATGTCAAGTCTGCATCAGTACGGATATCCCAATATAAATTTAAGACGTTATTTCCATCAGTGCCCAGATACGTCACGGATAGGATTGTATCAATCTTTCTACCGGGCTCCTTTCGGCTTATTCCCACTGCCCTTCGTAAACCTCTTACGTACATCGAGCAACGCGACCTCTGGATGATCCTCTCCGCAGACCAGAAGAGCAAGGTACCGAGCTCTGTACAGCAGTCTCAAAGACACGGACACCTGTCCGTTGGCGAAGGAGTACAAAGCCAGGTGGATCTGCAAGGAAGGAAACGAAGTGTCAATGTTCACGCGTTAGGTTCAGCCAAAGAATTCAGAAGTCTCTATAGAAGCCCAGTAGTATACGGACGTTTGTGGCTCGATAAATAGTACGTCAGTGAACGGAGGCCGACGCTGTAATCATCTCTTCATTTCTCTTAATCTTACGGCGACACATAACGGACTGCATTCTTTCCTTATCTTACACCCAGTACTCGCCTTTCTATATCGCACCTCTCTTCCTCCCGTACGTAAGATACCGTTGGCTAGCACGTGCGATCTCTCTTTTACCCCCACTCCTGATTTGTTAGCCAACTTTTAGAGCATCAAGCACTAACCTAGGATCTGGACTTTCATGGAACTTGTGAATTCATTGGTTGAGCCTACTTAACGAAGGGAGGAAAACATAACCCACGTATTCCGTGATGGTGTATGGATGGTCGATACCGTTGACCCTTTCCGACATGAGCACCGCCTTCTGTTGGGTCGCCAGTGCCTCGGCGGGGTCGCCCATGATATAATTCAGTCTTGCTAACATTCTGTGGCACTGAGCGATCTCGGGGTGCATCGCCCCGTAAACGTTGTTTAGGAGATTGAGCGCTTCACTTATGATCTCGTAGCCGTCCTTCAAGTAGCCCTGCTGGATTTTACTCTGCCCGGTCGTGTAAAAATTGTACGCGTCGCTCGCCTGAAATCGAGATTCTAATTTAATCCCTTCACTGTGAGTCATCCGTATACGCCAAAAAAATGTCGTGCCATTGGCGTAGACAGTCTTGCCATTACGCGATTCGACCTTAGACCATAGATATCTTGCAGTGGATTGCAGTGGGTATTGCAGTGGAAAAAGTAAACCACCAATACTACGTGAGCCGTCGGCACGAACTAAGGTATACTGTGTACGTATAAAAAAATCGAACCCAATTAGATTTTAAACCAGGTATGTTAAGCCTTCACCTTGCAATGGAAGGGGTAAACGATTGTACCACGTGAGCCGACCACTCACGCACACAGTTAAAACCATTTTGCTTACTGAACACTTGAGAGTGGGAGATTCAATTCGAGGTCTAGATATACCTGTATATGGTCTAAGGATTGGACGAGTAGGAGAAAACGTTTGAAAATGAAAATAGATTCACTGTCAACGGAGTAGAAACACTAAAACATAAACTGGAATAGTAAACTGGAACCGGTTTTGTATATTACAATTATAACTTGAGTTTGACACTACCACTGCACGATACCAATTGTGAATAATACTAAACTTTCCTTTTAAGTGGCACAAATGATGCGCACGCATTGGTTAACCTGGGAGAGGAACAGTGATGGAGATTCACCCATCGTTTACTCTTTCTCGCACAAATGCTTACTTTACTTCGTGCGGCAAGGATGCAGGCACATCCAAATCTATCTCTCTCTGAAATAAGGTCGCCGTGTAGTCTTAAGGGTGTTCACCACTCCAGCGATTTGTCGGGGCCTGGCGGGAGCAACTATTCCGAATGTATTCCCCAACCAATAGAGCTTAACAAGTGCTCATTTTAAAGAAAAGATGTTGACTCGTGCTTATATGAGAGCGATTTTCGATAAGTGGTCATTTTCATATAAAAAAAAATGCAACGGCATAATTTGAACGCTCTTTTAATTAGGAAGAAGTTGCTTGACCTAAACTAGCTCTCATATAAACACCCGTCAACATTTTATCTTTAAAATGAGTACTCGTTGAAATCCATCGGTTGAGAAATACGCTCAAAATCGTTGTCCCCGTAGAGTGCCTTTTTCACGATTTTCGGGTTCCTCGCGAGTAATTTGGACTCTCTAAAGTACGCACATACTTTTTGACCATCGCCCAATACCGACCATTAGGCATCGCGTCTCCCTCGTCAGAACGAAAAAATACGTTTTGGTTACCTCCCACCGAATTCGATGCTATTGCCATCTAGCGATTGAAGTCATCGTACCCACTTTTTGGTGCTGAACGCCGTTAAGTGTGATAAGCGTTCCAGTTTGCTATATATTTCAGTGAGTAGAAATTAACTTCACCGCCACCATAGTGAAAATCTACACGTCGCCTAACTAACATTTAATGTGGCGGACACGGTGATATATTTGAAATAGCCACATGGCCAGGTCAGACGGAATCTGAGCTTCTTGTAACGTTATTACTATGAATAAAATTATATTAATTTGCGTGCATAAAGTTTTAACATTTCATCCTAAATATCCAGCTAACATTTTTGCATGAAGTTCATTGCTGGAATCGAGCTTCACCCTTCAATCTTCAACCACAACTTGTATATTTGACTTAGCATTAGATTTCCCATTCATAAACCTTCTGAGATGGTTTTAAACCAACAAATTCAAACGTGACTAAAATTATATTTCCATATGGAGACATGGGACGAATTTCATTATAATACCAACATAGTGCCGCTGATTGATATAGGCTAAGGTAATTTAGTTGACTCGGTGTCGGTTATATTATCTTAGAAATAAAATGGAGTAGAAAATATAGAAGTTGGAGTAGAGTAGTAAAATCATGTTAATAATGATAGATTTACTCCGATCGGAGTAGCAGTGACAACAAAGGGAGTGGATCGCCGTATATAGCCATATAGAAAAGGGAGGGTTACACTATTCCGATTTTTATACAAACCAATATCTCGAGATTTTTATGTTACGGTATCCGAATTTGTTACAAACATCTCAAAACTATCCATAGCGGATAAATTGTGGAGTTACTACACGTTTGGAAATGCCATTATGAGTTTTTAAATTCTGTCGATTCGGATCAGCGACTCCAAAAATCTTGATACCGGTTTTTATCCAAAATCCAACCATTTGAAAATGCCTAATCCGCCATATTAGATCGGCTTTTTTCAATTTTTAATTTCTGTTATCAAATTTTAATTCAACGATATAAACAAAAAATTCAATAATAAAATCATCAAGCAAATCCGAATACTTTTGCTTTCCAACACTGATGGACGTGCTGCCAATGGGAGTACATATACTGCTATTAACCGGTTTACTGCCAAACGGCGAGATAGCACTTCTCCAGTTCAATGCATAATGGCTCGTGTTCACGTGCAAGTAAAACTTGCGAGAGCTGCTCTGAACTTGCGCAAGAATTTGCCCTCTTCCGCAAACTCGTATACCCGCCTGCTTGCAAAAGTTGAAGTTGCGTAAGTCGATTTAGAATCGGTCCCAAAATTCTTGCCGCGTTGCAAACGGATTTGTACGTGTTTTAGAATAAGGAGATGACACCCCCTTGCATCGGGGTTATACAAGGATACTACCGCCACCTACATTAAAAGACTAAAGTGGTTGACGTAAAATTCAACATAATGGAAATGACAGGCCAATTCGAACCTTTATACATGGTGTAACAGAACTCGTAGTCGCGGTTTATACAGCGTTATCCTTGTTGAAAAAGGAGCCGAACAGTCCTGTACTACATTTTTCCTACAGTGTATAAATTTCCTGTAATAACTGAGTGAAGCACAGCCAATCAATCGCGTTCGAAAACGGAAGGCATAGCAGAGAGGACGCTGGCGGCGACTGTTACGTCGCAGACAGCCGAACGCAGCACTACCGGCGTCCTAACCTCTATGCCTTTCGCTCTCGAACGCGATTGATTGGCTGTGCTTCACTCAGTTATTACAGGAAATTTATATACTGTAGGAACAATTTAGTATAGGACTTTTCGACCCATTTTTCAACAAGGATAGCGCTGTATAAACCATGACTACAATCTCAGTTACACTCTGTATAGCCCGGTTCTTACCATATTAACCCTTTCGGCACGAGCGCCGAATATATCCGGCATCCATCTGATGACCTGCGTGTACGAGCGCCGGATATATCCGGCATCTATGTGACAGCCCGTATGCACGCGCTATGTGTGCATTTTCGGAGCGACGCCTTATACAGCGGGAGTCTCACGGCGAACAGAGCGCTCGTACCGAAAGGGTTAAAGTGTCTCATTGTCCCGTCACTCTGAACAAAATATTTGTAACTACAAGATTTTAAAATTGTATTTATGCAAACGTATGTTTATTTCTCCCTGCAGCGACTGCAACAGCTACCGTTTCGTTGTACGACATTTTCGATACCGAATATTTCCCGCTCAAGTAAAATTGCGGCATGTTTGAGACAACGGGGTAAACGTAAAAACAAGTTACTCTAGCAAGTCGTCCTGCGAGTACTTGCTAGAGCGACTTGCGGCAAGAAATTTGCTGCAAATTTGACAGTGTACCTGTAAATGCAAGTTGCTCTAGTAAGAAGTATCGCAAATTACTTGCACGTGGACACGAGCCATAAAAGTACCACCTCAATGGTCAGCACAGTCGAACTTTCGACACAAAACAATAGATACGCGATCGTGCTGCTTGGACTATTCTCGGCGTGAAATTAGTGAACGCGATCGCGCTGCTTGGCACTTTTCGATAAGATTGTACCAATAACCCCTGGCACTCAACCAGATGATGGTTTTACTACTCTATTCCAAATTCTATATTTTCTATTCCACTTTATTTCCTAGATGATATAACTGAGTCTGAATTAACTGAATTGTCTTAGCTTACATCAATCAGCGCCATCATGTCGGCGCTACGGTGAAATTCGTCCCATCTTTTCGTATAAAAATATATATCTAGTTACGAGTGAATTCTTTGGTTCAGACAACCTGGTAACAGAAAATTTACGAAAAGGAAATCCAATACCGTATCAAACATATGCTCGAAGGTTTGAAGAATGAAGATAAAATCAAGTATTAAAATTTTATACAAACATTTTATCAACAAATTTAGTATGAAATTTCAATACTTAACAGGCGCTAACACATTTGTTAACAACAATAATTAATGTGATAGATGCTTGAGTCCCGTCAAATGTGAACACACGGACATTTCAAATATCTCGCCATATCCACCATATTAAATTGGAATACTGCTATTATGCAGATTTTCATTACTGCTCTAATTTCTTCTCCGCTGACAATAAATTTAATTTCATTTTCTGACGTTTTCTGCCACTCAGCCAGTACCGACAGTGTTAACACTAGCAAGAGCCTCGAATGAATCGTTGCAAGAATTAAACGTCGAAGAATTCAATGCAACAGTCTCTTTAACTAATTTACCCTAGGATTGATATGTTTCACCACGGGGAAGATATTCAAGATGTCCTCCTCGAAGAACGTGGCCCTGTTTTTATTCTCGAAGTTGTACTCGCGCAACAGTATCTGGATTCCTGTCTTTATGCAGAATCCCCGAAGTAGCGAGATCTTTTGCAGGTAGAAGTGCTCGATGGTCATGTCCAACGACTCCGGCGTCGGGCTTTCCCAGTCGTAGTAGCCCTTCAGATCGGCCTTGATCTGTTGCCACAGAGACTTCGGCGTCAAGAAGGCCCACTCGACTTCTGCTTGTTGAGGTCCATTGTTCCTGCCTTTTCTCTTGTTGCGACGCTTCGCAGTCTTGCTTTGAAGCTGAATAAAACGACAGAATTACGGATCAGAAATAACCAAGTAGTTTTAGGCACATAAGGTGATATGAAAGAGTGAGCATATGTATATGTCGCTATAAAGATCTATATAGAGATCCAATCGTTCATGAAAATATTCTCCGAATTGAGTGAATCGATAAAAATTTTACCACATGAATAAGGTAGGTCCTAAAACCCATGAAATTTCATTTTTTATAAAAAATGTATTTATTTATCACGAACTACGACCAACATGGCGTGGACCGTGCACATTTTTGATGTTTGACGCTTTTTGAAAACTTTGAATCGAAAATGAGCTTTAGGACCTAGCTTGAACAATTTAGAATACTATAATAACGGAATATTACAGGATCAGATAGGAAAGTATGGAGAATACTTTCACCAATAATTACAAGAGAATGTTGGCTTGTCTCGAGGGTATCACGTGTTTCTCGAATAAAAAATTAATTGCATTGGTCCATTAGAATAACAAAAATGATGAATCCATGGGATTTCGACAGTTTTACATCGATCTCTTTACCGTTACTTTACTGAAATGACGTGGAACGCTTCACTTGATATAATTCTCAACGTAGAGTGCAACTGAGTTCATCATAAATATAAATGTTGGAAACGTGACGCGCCAGTTTATGGTACCGCTTGAGTATTCAAAATGGTGTTAGCTCCAAAAAGGATATAGATGAATCTTAATTCAGCGACGTCGATTACATTTCTCGGCGCGTTTTAAATCATCTTAAAGTGAAGTGAAACCCCCTTCAAATCAGTCGATTCGAATACAACACTTTGTTTTAAGGGTATTAGACCAAACTGTCGGAACTTTTGACTCATCAGTCCTGATCATCTAAGAGTTGTCCTGACACATTCAACATTTGGATTTTTTTTTTATTTTTTAACCCAGCCTAGACCAGAACCAAAATGGCGTCGAGTTCTCATATTTCGATCAATATACAATTATCGAAGGCTCTGATATGAGAATCGAAAGGGTCAGGACAATTTTACGACAATTTAGAACACTCTGGTAATCGATAAACTCGCATTTGAACGGGATAAAGGCAAAAAAAGTGTTGTATGCGCTCCTATGTCAAAACGATAGTAATACGAGGTCTCGAGGTGAAAATTTAATTGACCTGAAAATCACAGATGGCGCGGGGGGTCCCTCTGCAGTCAATTAGGCCCCCAGAAAGCATGAATTCGGGGGATTTCTGGAGTTTTACTTCGATTTCTTTAGTATGTCATTTGGTACAATTCCCAATATAATTTGATGCAGCTGTCAATATAAAAACAAACGTCGGCAACGTAGGCATTTAGAAAAATCTTCTTTATCGACGTTGATCAAGTTCCTCGACGTGTTTCACTTCACCTTAAGGTCGAGAAAATTGATCAACGTCGATAAAAAGGTTCATCTAAATACCTACGTTACAGACGTTTATATTTACATTGACAACTATGTCAAATTCTAATGGGTATAGTACTAAATGTATGTCTTATCTCCTGACCCTTTCGTTTGTCATATTTAAAGTTTTTCTTAACCTCAAGGTGAAGTGAAACCCCTTCAGCCCCTCTTAAATCAGTAGATTCGAATGAGACACTTTTTTTTAAGGGTATTGTACCGAACAGTCTGAAACTTTGACACGTGACTCGTGAGCACCTAAGAATTATTCTACACTTTCAAAATTTGAATTTTCGAAAAAAGAAAAACTTATTGACTTAGTCTAGACCAGAACCAAGATGTTATCGAGCTCTCATATTTCAATCAATATACAATTATTGAAGACTCTAATATGAGAAACGAAAGGGTCAGGACAATTGTACAATCATTTAGTACGCTCCAGTAATTGATAAACTCGCATTTCAACGATGTAAAGGAAAAAAAAAGTGTCTTATGGTCGTCTGCGCTTAAACGATGGTAACATGACGTCTCGGAGTGCAAATTTAGTTGAGACGGAAATCACAGATGGTGCAGAGGGTCACTCTGCAGTTAATTAGAATCTCAGAAACCATGAATCCACGGGATTTCTGGAGTTTTACTTCGATTTCATTATAATTATTGCACGAAAACGACAGATGGAGTATGCCACTTATTGTTAGTACATTACCCAATATAATTCGGCACGCCATTTGTAACGTTTTGATGCAACTAAATTTATACGCTAAAAACATGTGTCGCCCACGGGACATTGTCTTGCAATCGTTTGTGAAAGCATTTTTCATATATTCCCATATGAGTCTGTAATATTCCTTTTTTATAGTATTTTAAATAGTTCGAGCTGGGTTTTGAGAATCTTCAATTTCAATTCTAAGCCTTGAAAAAACGTAAAACATCAAAAACGTGCACGAATGACATCATGTTGGCTCCAGTCCATGATAAATAAATAAATTTTTTATAAAAAATGAAATTTCATGAGTTTCAAGGCTTATCTTAGGATCTGCATATTCCCGTGGTAAAATGTGAAACGAATCGATACACCCAAATCGGAGAATACTTTCACGAAGGATTTGACCTCTCAGATATATATAGGCTGACTCTTTCAAATCACTTTAAATCTTTTGCCGAACCTCCGCGGGAAAAGCTTTACATTTTGTTTTTTTGTGAGATTGTAAGACATACCTCCTCCACATTTTGCTGCGGATGTATCAGTTGGGCCGAGGATAGGAGACAGTTCAGAAAATGACTGATAGCTGCTGAGAGACTCATCAGCTCTGTCCCCTGAAAAGTGATTTGCGGTTCACAGGCTTGATACATCTTCTTCGTAATTTGCAACGTTCATCGATCGCTCACCTGCATGTAAGATGTGAAGACGTGTTTGGCCGATCGCAGAATTAACTCTGACACAGCGATGGAGTTGAGATACTGCAGCTGTGGAACGGCGGCCAGCATAGCTTCCAGTTTTCCGAGGTAACGCACGTTTATACCTCGACCATGAAGTGCCTCTACCAGGGTGGTTCCATCCATGGCGGCAGCGGTATGATCCAAACATTCACGAATCTGTCTCACCAACATTAAAAGTTGTGGCCCATATTCGTACCTCATTTGTATAAGCGTTCTTAAGGTGCATTGAAACCCGGCGAGAAATTTAATCCATATTCGTACCTCATTTGTATAAGCGTTCTTAAGATGCATTGAAACCCGGCGAGAAATTTAATCCATACCGGTAAAAAGATTCTTCTGACTACCTATATTACCGACGTTCATATTTACTTAGCTGTGTCGTACTTCACTATGAATTGTACGGAATGGCATACTCCCCACCAAATACTGTTACGTTACAATAATATAACCGTTATATGTTGGTAACATGTAACGTAACATACATATAATATATGACCCGTTTATTTTGAAAGTGGTCTAAGTCCATTTGTCAATTATTTTCGGTTGCCCGTAGTTACATGTACAACTTGAAGTTATCTATCAATAAAGCATTCGAGGTTAATTGTATTCCGAGTAAATACGATAATTTTGGACACATAAGTTTTCAGAGTTAGTTCAATGATTAAAACCATCATTTTGAAAGTGACCTAAGTCCAATCTATATGTACGTTATAAATTTGGATATTCACAATTTTCATAACGATAATGTTCTCATGTACGTTTGGGATGAAACTATTGCATCAAGAGGTGCTCAAGAAATAGCTTCATGCATTCTAAAACATGTTAAAAATTTAAGAAGTGAAAGACACATTATAGCTTACAGTGACATGTGTGCAGGACAAAATAGAAACGTTAAAGTAGCTTTAATGTGGCTAAAAATTGTCCAAACTGTTGAACATAATGTGGAAATCATAGATCAACGAAATTATTAGAAGACGCAATTTTTAAAAGGGTAAAGAATTCTAAAGGAGAATCGATAAACTGGTTAAAAATATGTTAAATGCGTTTTGTCAGAAGTGAACCATAAAAAATTTTCTGTAAGACATCAATGAATGAGAATGAAAATTTTAAAGTCCTGGATTTATTACCACGTCGGCGTACACAAAGAAAGTTCGAAAATATTGTATTGACCCCACTTTATAAAAATATAAGATAAATTACAACAGCGAAATTGAAGGACATAATGGACCTACTACGATATATACCATCGGAACATCGTGACTTCTTCAAATCCCTTTCACATACACGAAATGTAGATGAGCAGTAAATTGTTTTGTAATTTATCTAGTTAAAAAAATATTGTGAATTGCATAATTATTGTTTTTGAAGTGTTGTAAAGATACATAAAATAAATTGAGTATTGTTTTTTCAATTTGAAGCATTTTAAATTATGTCGAATGGACTTGGGCTCTTTTACATTTTGTAACGAATCTGGTTGTTAATTTTGAAAGTGGCTTAACTCCATTCTTGGTAAGAAATCGCATATTATTCACTTAATAATTGCCATTATTTTAATAGGAACTGTAAATTTAACTCGTTTAAATACACTTAAGCGGTATGACTCATTGGTGTCCTGTACGTATATTTTTAATTGCATTGAAACGCAAACCCTTAAATATCTCAATTTAAGTATAAATGGACTTACAATTAGACCACTTTCAAAATATACGGCTCATATAAGATTTATATTACAACTTCCTCCGCAGCTATATAACACTGTTATAAAACGAATAATGTAACGTATAGATAACATATCGGTAACATGTTATATGTTATGTTAATATTATATAACTGCAATGCTAACAAGTTTGTAACAATGTTACCGAACAGTAATAATTCGATGTTATATCATATTAATGTATCTTTTGAATAACATTCGTCATATATCATGTTATACCACTGTTATGTCATTGACATAGTGTGCTCGGTGGATCCATACATGGTTTCCGTAGGAACGGGCGAAATAGACGAGCGATCGTCCGGGGAGTTTGGGTAGAAAATCGTCCCCCTTTTTCTTAATCCTTACCGCGATTACAAATCATCGTTTCAGTAGTTGAATCTGTTTTACAGAAGTCGATTAAATTTCTCGACGGGGCTCACGTCACTTTAACGTGATGTGTGAAAGTGGATGCACAGAGATCTCATTTATAAAACTTTTCTCTGAACTTTGTGTATCGAATCATTTCAAAGTTTACAACGTGAATGTGGAGGCTATAAGGAAGGTCCTGACACCCATGAAATTTTAATTATTTAGAAATTTGTTTGTTGATATCTCTTTAATTTTTGATAAAAAATGAAATTTCATGGGTGTCAGGAGCCTTATAGCCTTATAGCCTCCATATACACGGGGTAAAGCTTAAAACAATTCGGTACAGCTAGTACGGCGAAAAATGTTATAAACAGGGCCACTCGGATGCCCCATAAAAAGGGGTGGGAGTAAAGACCAATATTTTAGAACTGAAAACGATTTCGGACGAACAGGAAGTAGCTGATACTTACGAAAGTCGGGAGCTGTACCGTCAGCAGGAAATCGGCGGCGTCTCGAACTAGTTGTCTCTGCTTCTTCAAGGCGGGACCATTGGGATCTGGATGTCGGACTCCTGGTGAGTAAACATCAGGATTGAATCTGACGTCGAATTCTGCATCTCTCAGACTACCAACGGCTGCCGCGGCTCTGCGGACTATTTCCTTCGTGCTTTCTTCCACTAGAAACAGGAATATAGACTGTAGTCTACATATTTGCAAGAAATTAACCGAGGACTCGTAGGCAAAAGATTAACGGAATGCCGTGCGTAAGAAATTTTCGAAGCAATTATTTGTACAAAATTAACCCTTTAATTACTGAACGCAACTATAGTGGTTTCCGCATGACCGACATTTTTTTAATAAAGTTCCACTATAGTGGCCCCCTTCATTCCCATGTATTCAATGCGACAAATGAATTTCAATAGAAACATGAATATAGACTGTAGTCCACATATTTATATAAGATACTAGAGGGTCGGCACAGTCACTGACCACTATTTCGGACTCATTATTCGCCCCCTAATCAGTTTAATCAACCGATCGCGGAAACTCGATCATGCGATCGGAATTTTTTGATCTGATAGTTTTTATAAGATCCTCGGAGTCGATTTAGGGGGGCCATGTTTCAGGGGTTTTCGATCTAGGAGCCGGAATCCCTTGTAATCGTGTGAGGTTGGTTTCGTGACATACATACATACAGACAAAACCAGCGCTTTAGTAATAAGTGACTACATATACCCTGAGCGCCGACGCGCCCGGTTTCGGCGGCACGGCTCTTCGCGGTGACTCGACTGCGCCGAATTTTATCAACCAATCGCTGAATCTCGATCATGCAATTGGAACTTTTTTCATCTGATGAACCTTTTAAGGTGAAGTGAAACCCCCTTCAAATCAGTCGATTCGAATACAACACTTTTTTTTTTTAAGGGTATTAGGTAGGCCAAACTGTCCGAAACTTTGACGCATCACTGATCATCTAAGAATTGTCCTGACACATTCAAAATTTAGATTTTTGGACAACATTTTTTAACTTAGCCCAGACCAGAACCAAAATGGCGTCAAGTTCTCATATTTCGATCAATATACAATTATCGAAAGCTCCGATATGAGAAACGAAAGGGTCAGGACAATTTTACGACAATTTAGAACACTCTGTTAAACGAGAAACTCGCATTTGAACCCGTTGTCCCGATAAAGGCAAAAAAAATGTTGTATGCGCTTCTATGCTAAAACGATGGGAATACGAGGTCTCGGAGTGAAAATGTAATTGACCTGGAAATCACAGATGGCGCAGGGGGTCCCTCTGTAGTCAATTAGGGCCCTAGAAAGCATGAATCCAGAAGATTCCTGGAGTTTTACCTCGATTTCTTTGTAATTATTGTATGAAAACGACAGGTGGAATGTCATTTGGTACAATACCCTATAATTCGACACAGCTGTCGATATAAAAACGAACATCGGCAACGTAGGTATTTAGAAAAATCTTCTTTATCGAGGTCGATCAAGTTCATCGACGTGTTTCACTTCACCTTAACAACACTGCTCGAGATGGCAATGTTCGAGTAACTCGATTCCGTGAAGTACTCAACTCGTTATATCGCTTCGACTGAATCGAGTTGTTTTACTCGACAACTCACCATAGATTCTACTAGTCGGGCCGAATATAAGCGGCATCGAGTCGATGAAGTACTCAACTCGTTATATAGCTTCGACTCAAGTCGTTACTGATTGAGTCGTTTTACTCGCCAACACGCCATAGTCTACTCGCCACGTCGAATATATGCGGCACCAGTAATCGACTCGAGTCCAAACTCGAGTTGGCAATGCTTTGGAATTCGAGTAACTGGAATTGGTAACGTATTCGACTCGTCGCATCACTGGGTTCTCCAGCAAATCCAATGAAAGAACAATTAAAAATCCGCTAAGCGCGATGATTGCCCACTCACGTTCTTGTTTTTCTCCCCCCGTTATCGAGTCCGTAATGCTTTCCACGATTTTCTTAGCCTCGTCCGCTTCGATGGCCGATTGAGCAGAGTTCTCTTTGTTGCTGTCAATTGCAACGTTTTGCTCTTCCTTCTTGATTTCCTGAAACGATGAATAACCATCAAGTTACCTCCATTGCACGTTACAATTCTGGCATAATATTAAAATTTATCGTGTAGAGAATTCCTCTGAAAGCCAGCGCTGAGCGACAAATTTACTTTCTAGACAAAATTAATTACTTGCGCCAATCTAAACGTTTCTTACCAAAGAAATTTCTCGGCTCCGGCAAAATTTATTCTGTGGGAATGAACGTCGTTGCAAGTGAAACGACGAAAATTTCGTATTAAGTGGAGTTAAATTTGAGAAAAAATGTCGAGCGCAAAGTTTACTTCAGGCATTGAAAACGTTACTAGAAGTTATATAATTTTGTACATTAAATGTTGTATTTAACTCAAACAACTTAATGCTCGATATACAAAATTACTAATAGCGAATAAATATAGTTCCAAGTTAATGCAAGCACGAGTTCATCGGTTAGTAACACAGTTTCGAGAGAAAACGTCAGATTTACTGTAAATCCATATTTCGTATCAGAATATTACTCATTCTTCCAAAGTCTTTCATTTCCTGAAGAGACTTAACTTCACATTCAAAGATGATTACACACAAAAAATCTACCAATAATGCATAATAAAAACTTAGGCCCTCACTACTACCTCATTTTCATAGGCGCTGTTAAATGCCTTTTAGTTACATACGAACGGACCGTTGGTAAAAGACGCCCTACTGATACTTTCTTTTAAGTCCACTTTTAGTTATAAGGCCGCTATTGGAAATTCACTTCAACGCTTCGCATTACGCGGAGAGGGAATGTTAGTTGTCTATCAACAAGGTATCACTCATTTTAATACCTTAAAATGCTATGTTTGCACCTTTTTTTATTTTTCTCTGATATTTTGTGCTCTAACAGCCTTTAAGCAAACAGTAGTGGTCCATTTCTCTTAATTAAACGCGAATCTATTTCGTTGAGAATTTAAATTAGAACTCCGGGGTATACGTAATCATTAGTTCTTGGTCCACGATGGCGCTGATATCCTGGCAACGTGTGTAAAGTTGGCAACTAGCAGTCCATACTTTTATAATCAAAGGATATCTATTTGTTCTATATGGAGAGAGCTTCGACGAATTCGAGTCACACCAGCGCCACTAGACATGGGTAACAATACTAAATAAGTAGCTTGTGAACCGTCAATTCGCGAAAATAAACGATTAAGATATAAAAGGATAGAAGAGACAATTTACGTGTAGAATGGTGCGTTGGGCATATTGTAATAAAGCTTCGAATAAAACAAAACGGTTATCTTTTTTCTCGTAAGTATTTTAATATTTTTCGCAAATATTTTAATGTTTCTTGTGTGTTTATATTTCTCGTAAGAATTTTAATAGAAATGACCATTATTTTCTGTCAGTAAATGAATTCGACACCTCTTATACTAACGCAGTTAAAAAACACGTTGTTTTGACGCATGCGCAAATACTACAATATTAGTTGATGAGCCCATAACTAGAGGCACTGTGGTCGCTTCAAATGTAATGCCATATATGAGCCCTTAATTATGGAAGTGGTCTAAGTCAAAAATTTAAAGAAATTAGATAAACATAACCTTAAAATGGCACGTGGCCCTCTTTGACGCGTTTTTGAACTACACGATAAGCCGACAAATGACAATCAAACGATAACAGAAACGACAATGCTTTCCGGTCTACCTAACAATATATGGAATTTATGTAGTTCTATTTTGATAGTGCATTAATTCAGTTGGGCTGTTCCGGACTAATTATTGGCGGAAAAATAATTTATATATTGTACCACTATGTCAACTGATAGCGATTCAAGTAAGTTAATGACAACGTACTTATTATGTGAATATGTTAATTATTATTCGGATATGATGTGATTTGCAGATATACGACCACGTAATACTTCTTTAGATGATTCTAAATTCCACGTTTTGGATCTTTCATCTAAAAGAGGAAGACCAAAAATATACGGAAATATTAAATTACTTCCATTATACCCCACCACTAGACCAGTAACGGAAGAAAAACATAAAGATATTATGTGTTTACTACCATACATCCCTCCAATTTTTCAGGAACATTTTAAGAATCTTAAAAACTCATAATGATAACAGCCTAAAATGATAAAAATGGATTACTTTTTAAAAATAATTAATTACTATTCATGAATAATTTCATTAAAATTATTGTTTCTAATAAAACTCGTACTTTTTTATTGCTTTAAGTCATTTATAGGACATTCAGTTAATTTTGAAAATGGTCCAAGTCAATTCACACTTTCAAAACAACATTTTCGTATGAAATTCACAGACTTGCATAATATAAAAATATTTTTTAATTCATTCAAATGCAATTCATTAAATATCTCGAAACGGGAAATATATGACTTGGACCACTTTCATAATTATGGGCACATATAACGTCAAACGTTATGCCATTTTCTACGGTATCAGCTATGTAGTTAGGCAGATCAGGGGGTCGATTTTGTATCTTTGGTAAAAATGATCACTTTTCGAACTTTCATCTCACCTGAGCTTATTTACTCGAATTTGGAATCTTCGGGAGAATTTCAATTTGTATAACAAATCTAGTTGGGAATGCTGAAAGTGAGCACCTTTCGCGAGTTTGTAATTATCACCAAGGTGAAAGTATGAGATATTTTAGGTAAGAATACTCGACAAGAAATTTTGTGTTGAAATGACAAGATGTGAGAGAGAGGAACGATAGATACTGAGAGAGTGACAAAGACACAATGACAAGAACGCGACATAAAAGATGCGTACGTAAAAGACTCAAGTCAGCAGAGGTTAATATGATCTACTTAGCCATATCGATAATACTTGATGACAAATAGGAAAAAGAAGGATGGAAAAATGAGAATAGAGAGAATACCTCGGTATATTTTAGAATCAATTTCGTATGAATAATGTTAACTGTAATGTTTATTATTAACACAAATACTTTTTTATATTATTATTATCACGGTACATTAGCAGTAATAAATATTTGTTGTTGCTTTGTAATATTCATTATCAGAGCTTCATTATGTCGCATATAAAACTTGCAACTCACCACAATTTTTTCTTCGTACGGTACGAGGGATAAATTGGATAAATTCAAACTGTTTTCAAGTGAAGATATATGTTACTCTTCCGCCTAAAACCTTTTCTCCCCATATTTTCAGTCAAGAGATTTCGCATTTTTACCGGAGGATACAAAATCGGGTGAATAATCTCAGATGAGGTGAAAGTGCGAGAAATGAGCTCTCCTACCAAAGATAACTGGCGAGCATTGACTGGTTTCCCTGCGGATATGCTACCGTCACCAGTGCGGAATAAGCCGTGGAATCAGAGTAAAATGTGAATTGCTGCGAGTGACAAAATCCTTTTTCCGAAGATACCAAACATTTAGAAGCAAATAAAATTAAACCAAAGTAATAACATATTATTTTGAAACATTTCTCAATTTGCTAACGAATCAATTGCTTTGTCCTTTGAATCAATGTATACATATTACAAACTTACGGGAGGTGCTGACTTTTAGCATTTTAACCCGATTCGAATTACAAAATCGATCCCCAATGCGTTTCCCGCATGCCATAGGTTCAGAGTTTACTGAACTTTGCCGCAGAAATGAAAAGCGAGTTTGACAGAATAAAGCCGTAACCGAAGCCCTAACCAAGAGCGACATAAATTCGGTTTCAAAAGTCCCAGGTATTTATTTAATGCACTGTATTCACTTCATACGTTTAGCTTTATGAAAAATATTGTTTATGCACTCCACTTTTTATGTACGATTTTGACAATTAAAAGTTCTCAAAAATGGATGCCCGATTTTAACAGCTACGCCTTTAGCTTTAAGGTATAAAAGCCCCCTACCCACTTTTAGGGAACAAAGCTCATTGTTACCCTAAAAATGCTCGAAAAGAAGCTTAAAAAAATATATGAGTAGACATTGCTGCTAAAATACATTTTTTCTTGCTTCTTTTAAGCATTTTCTATAAAACTGGTCTAAAAGCGAGGCGTGTGTAAGGTTGTTGTTAACAATGCTCTAAATACGTCTTTTAATGCTAAAGGTGAAATATGAGGAAGACGCTTAATGAAGCTATAAGCTCAAGTAAATTGAATATCGTTTGAAATTTGTATTAATATCATTCGATCCGTTCCACTTATTTGGTCCTTACTTATACTTCACTTTTATGGGCGCTTATAAGTGTTTTACTAAAATATAATTAGACCGCTGCTAGAAGAAACGATACTCGTATCTTCTTTTAAATCCACTTTTAGTTAAAGGACCGCTATTACGAAATGTGATATAATAACGTCGGAAAATGTGACGATTGCATGACGTGCATGCGCTCCGATTACCCCGCGCGTGCGTTTTTCATATGTCAAAAGTTCAGAGTCTGCTGAACTGATACATCTTCTAACGCTAAAAGTGAGATATGAGTGAGGGCCAAAATCTTTTTGTCACAAGAACTCCTTTCTTTCCTGGATAGCGATTATATCGCTCAAAGGGTAAACACCAAATCTATCGAACAGCCTACCTTGAGGCAAGTGTCTTTCTCCTTTTGTGACCTTTTCGCGGACGTGAGTTGTTGCAGATGAACGGCAGCGTGTTTGATGAATTGCACGTATCTGGCCTCGACGAAGGAGTCTATGAGCTCCTGTCTAAGGCAGGCCAATCGATGCTTGTGCTCAATGGGAAAGCCGAGGGCTCGCGCTTCCTTGCTCAGCTCGACACCTTCCACTGAAACAACATTTCGAATGAGATTTCTCTTATGACTTTTTCAGCTGGTTTAACTCACAAGGAGAGGTCACGTCAGTCGAATCGGGGATTTTAATATGATATAAATGGCGCCGAGAAATTTAATCGACGTCTGTCAAATAAAACTCATCCATACCCTTTTCGACGAAAACGCCATTTTGAAGAACATGGATTTTAGATCGTAACCTAAGTTGGCGCAGGATATTACCGACATTTGTATTTGAGCCGTATATTTTGAAAGTGGTCTAATTGTAAGTCCATTTATACTTAAATTGAGATATTTAAGGGTTTGCGTTTCAATGCAATTAAAACTATACGTACAGGATACCAATGAGTTATACTGCTTAAGTGTATCTAAAGGAGTTAAATTTATAGTTCTTATTCAAATAATGGCAATTATTAAGTGAATAATATGCGTTTTCTTCCCAAGAATGGAGTTAAGCCACTTTCAAAATTAACAACCAGATTCGTTGCAAAATTTGAAAGAACCCAAGTCCATTCGACATAAATTTTAAGTACTTCAAATTGAAAAAAACAATACTCAATTTATTTGATGTATCTTTACAACACTTCAAAAACAATATTTATGCAATTCAGAAAATTTTTTAACTAGATAAATTACAAAACAATTTACTGCTCATCTACATTTCGTGTATGTGAAAGGGGTTTGAAGAAGTCACGATGTTCCGGTGATATATATCGTAGTAGGTCCATTATGTCCTTCAATTTCGCTGTTGTAATTTGTCTTATATTTTTATAAAGTGGGGTCAATACAATATTTTCGAACTTTCTTTGTGTACGCCGACGTGGTAATAAATCCAGGACTTTAAAATTTTCATTCTCATTCATTGATGTCTTACAGAACATTTTTTATGGTTCACTTCTGACAAAACGCATTTAACATATTTTTAACCAGTTTATCGATTCTCCGTTAGAATTCTTTACCCTTTTAAAAATTGCGTCTTCTAATAATTTCGTTGATACAAAATCCTCTTGTTTCATTTCATTTAGAATAACGTTATTGCCTCTCCGGCAATTTTTGATAATATTATAATAATCTTAAGGGACAAACAGTACATTATTTTTTTTTAATGACATTTCTCCCACGCCAAAATCTCTATCATTTGCTAAAAAGGAATGTCCTGATATTAAAAATTTATGATCTATGATTTCCACATTATGTTCAACAGTTTGGACAATTTTTAGCCACATTAAAGCTACTTTATCGTTTCTATTTTGTCCTGCACCCATGTCACTGTAAGCTATAATGTGTCTTTCACTTCTTAAATTTTTAACATGTTTTAGGATGCATGAAGCTATTTCTTGAGCACCTCTTGATGCAATAATTTCATCCCAAACGTACATGTGAACATTATCGTTATGAAAATGGTGAATACTCAAATTTAGAATGTTCATATTGCGTTTATAATATGCTACTGAAGTAGGCAACTTTGGATAAGGTAATGCTTTTTGCAAGTCGAAAGAAAAAGCGAAGTAATAATCTAAATTACGTGATACTAGTTCCTGATCTTGTTTTAATGATTTCCTAGCTGATTCTGCTAGCCTTAAATGGATATCATGTTCTTCTGCAAGTTTATTCTTTTCTTCATCATCATTCGATGCTTTAATTTTGATGTTCAATAAGTCGCATTTCTGACATGTATCTTTGCGCGGTTGGTGGAAATGTAAATCAAAATCTTTTTTAAATATTTTTCTGTAAGTTCCCTCATTAACAGCTTTTATTTTATTTTCCTTGCAATGAAGCTCGTATAAATTAAACATTTTCTTAAGAGTTAGATCAGGATGTAGACATCTTCTAATAAGATTATGAGATCTGGTATAATGGGATTCAAATTTAGGAAAACTTTTAATACGGTTTTGAACGTGCTTTTTCTCTTCTTCAGAAATATTTCTTGATGATCCTACCATACGCCCACGTAAATCATTTCCTACATTTGCAAAGTTGAATACACGTTTTTATCGTACTTCACTTACTTTAAAGGTATCCAAAAAGAATTTTTTACAGTCGGGAACTTTTCCGTTTTTAGAATTTAACAAATACCTAAAACCCCAATTTCTTGGCGAACCTTTTCCGTTTTTTTGACGTCTTCGTTTCACAGTTTTGCGCTCGATAGCTTCGTAAAGCAATATATTTTGTTTATTAAAATCTCCCAAATACCAAAACTTCTCAAAAATATTCTTTCTTTCTTCTTCTTCGTAATTTTTTATGCAAGCTTTTCGACAACGGCAATCTTTGTTTTGTAAAACTTTTGAAGGTACAATGTTTCCGGTTTGAGTATAATATCTTTTTCCTGAATTCCGTTTAATTTTTCGCACTTTTTGGATGTATGTTTCATCAATCTTTTCTCCATTGTTATCTGTATCTTCATCCCCTGACGCCGAATATTGTTCGATAATTCTTTTTCTTTTTCGATTTTCCTTGAAATCATTAGTTACTAATTCGTCTTCACTATCTGAACTAAATGGTCTTGTCGTTTTATTCTTCCTCATGGGTGAAATAATTTCTAAAATTTAATATTAAATTTTAAGTTTTATATTTAATGGTAAGTATGTGTATTGCGTAAATTTTTTTTAACTGCATTAATTAAACGTACCGATTATTCAACTAAAGCAATTGTCCAAAAACTGAGGTTAACTTGTTAAATACTAATTAATTAAAATTACCTTCATCACTGCCTTCGGACATTATCAATAATAAATATCTCAATTCAAGTATAAATAGACTTAGGCCTCTTTCAAAATAAACGCTCAAAAATGTATTTGGCTCGAAACTCTACCGACTTTCTTGATATCATAAAGTATAAAGTAAACGTATGAATCTCACCTGACAATATTATTTGTATTTCTGAATTTCTATCGAATCTAGTTCAATGGAAATTAAAAAAAAACCACATCTCAAACTTTCTTGAAGTTTCTGGCGTTTGGTCACCGAAAGTGTATTTATACTTCGGCATTTCTCATGAAAAGTGCAGTACATTCGGTTACATTCATTATTCTCAAATGCAGAAAGTACAGCTAACCTAAACAAACCTATTCAATAATCAGACCGATCCCAATTCATTGAAACCTTCTATACTCACGTTTCAGGAAATTAACATCAGGCGGGAAGGTTCTCAAAAGATCCAGGACATAATGTCGCGAGTCGTTGCCGATGATTCCCTTGCACTCAACGCTGCTGCACAGCTCGATCTCCTCGCTGGCGTCATTTATCACCTTGTGCGGCAGGATCTTCAGCTGCTGTCCAGCCTTGTTCAACTGAAACCGAAGGCAAAACTGGGTTTGAGCGGATTTAAATTATTTTATTAAAATTACGATTAGGGGAGAATAGTACTGCTCGAAAAAGTCCAAGTTAATCATGCTACCACGTAACGAGAAGCAGGGGCAACGCTTGTGACGTAAGCGCCGTTGCTTTACCGTTCCTAGGAAATCACGGGACCGCGATTTTGACGACAAGCAGTCTTATCCCAGGAACGTCGAGCGTTATAGTCACAAAGTGCCAAGCCTCAATAAAAATGTCATACTTCACATAAAGAAATAAACACATCGTTAAGGTGAAGTGAAACATCCTTCGAATCAGTCGATTCGAATACAACACTTTTTTTTAAGGGTATTAGGCCAAACTGTCCAAAACTTTGACACATCACTCCTGATCAGCTAAGAATTGTCCTGACATATTCAAAATTTGGATCATTCAAAAAAAATTTTTAACTCAGTCCAGACCAGAACCAAAATGGCGTCGAGCTCTCATATTTTGATCAATATACAATTATCGAAGACTCTGATATGAGTATCGAAAGGGTCAGGACAATTTTACGACAATTTAGAACACTCTGGTAATCGATAAACTCGCATTTGAACGGGATAAAGGCAAAAAAAGTGTTGTATGCGCTTCATTGCTAAAACGATGGGAATACGAGGTCTCGGAGTGAAAATTTAATTGACTTGGAAATCACAGATGGCGCAGGGGGTCCCTCCGCAGTCAATTAGGGCGCGGAAGGCATGAATCCAGAGGATTTCTGGAGTTTTACTTCGATTTCTTCATAATTATTGTACGAAAACGACAGGTGGAATATGCCATTTGGTACAATACACAATATAATTCGACACAGCTGTCAATATAAAAACGAACGTCGGCAACGTAGGCATTTAGAAAAATCGTCTTTATCGACGTTGATTAAGCTCCTCGACGTGTTTCACTTCACCTTAAAAAGAAATTCATCAGAAAACATATCTACATGATAAAAGAACTCGACATTGATAAGTTTTGCGCGTTTTCATGATGCGTGTACGTGTCGCATTTAATCGGAAATTCTACAATGTCCCTGGTAAATACGGTTACGTAGCTGACCGTTTCTACACGTCGTCCACTGCGCATTTTCTACAGCGCATGGCGTCACGACGTACATTAGCGCTGGTGGCGAAAATTCGCTCAAGTTTTATGCGAGGGAAATGTCTTCGTTGACAGCTTCGCATGATCGCCCCCAAAAATGTCGATTTCGGCTATTCAACGGCGACTCTCACAAGGAAACATTCCCAAGTGTCCGCCCCCGATCTTATTGATTTCCATATATGTAGAAGAACCCAAAAAGCTAAGAGACACGTGTTTTTTTATATTTGCAATGGTCCACATTTAAGGGGTGAAACAACCCCCCAAAGTTTGGCAAACATTCAGTTTTTATAATCATTTTCGTAGAAGCAGTGGAGGGATTTCGACGAAACTTGGTATAAACGTATTCCGTATAAGGACGGTGAAAACACAATATCGTCCAGCAATGCTACACCCCCCCAAGGGGGTGAACTACCCTTCAGGCGACATTTTTATGTAATATCTAATAAACGAGCACTCCTACTTATGTTCCACTTACGCGATGTGATTGCTCACAAAAAATGAAGAATCCGTGTTTTTTGCTTTTTGCCAATAAACATTTACACATCGGTTGTAAGCAATGAATGTAGGTGGTATACGGGTATATCCCGAGTAACTTTATTGGGTTATATCATGACCAATTCATTGTACATAAATCTTGTGAGCGTGCTAATTCCTCAAAATGTCGTTGGTTTTCATAATATGCAATTATTTACGAATATCGCCAACTCTATTATCGTAAAAACAGTAAAAATCAAATTTTACCGTTTCACCAAGGAGATTGTATTACTAGTTGGAAACGGGTGATGACTGCGTCATCGGATCTGTTGCGAAACTATTTTAGTCTCTTAAACTTTTTTTTTAATTTATTTATAAATAATTTCATGCTATGAAAACCAAGAACATTTTGAGGAATAAGCACGTTCACAAGATTTCTGTACAATGCATTGGTCACAATATAATCCAATATAGCTAGTCGAAATATACCCGTACACCACCTACATTCATTGTTTACAACCGATGTCTAAATGTTTATTGGCAAAAAGCAAAAAACACTTATTTCTTCATTTTTTGTGAGTAATCACATCGCGTAAGTGGGACTTCAGTAGGAATGCTTGTTTAATAGATATTACAAAAAAATGTCGCTTGAAGGGTAGTTCACCTCCTTGGGGGGGTGCAGCATTGCTGGACAATATTGTGTTTTCACCGTCCTTATACAGAATACGCTTATACCAAGTTTCGTCGAAATCCCTCCATTGCTTCTACGAAAATTGTTATAAAAATCGAATTTTCGCCAAACTTTGGGGGGTTGTTTCCCCCCTTAAATGTGAACCATTGCAGATATAAAAAAACACGTGTCTCTTAGATTTTTGTGTTCTTCAACATATATGAAAATCAATAAGATCGGGGGCGGACACTTGAGAATGTTTCCTTGTCAGGAATATGGGGTGAAGTTGACGAGGGTACAACTTTCCCTGCGTCAGTGACCCTTCTTTGATTTTCATTAATGGTTCCGTGTTACGGTGCCATAAGCGTTGTATGAGTAACGACACTGCCCATGTTGGGCCGTCATGACGGATTCGTGGGCCGCAAATACGGATGTTTACTCATTATTTATATTTTTTCTGATAAATAATTGAACAATCTCGCTCTACAGGGAAAGTTATATTTTCGGAAGGCTGTGATTTAACCCGTTTAAATTATTCAAAGTGCATCCTGTACAGACATTTTTGGGTGCAAAGTTTTCCCGCTTCCAGCTCTCGTAGGTGTGAAAACGCATCCAAAGAAAATGATGTACGATTCCCCCTTACATCATGCATTTCTGCGAACTTTGTAGGTATTGTTTTATTCGGTCTTACTTTTGGTATTGGTCTTGCAAAAAGTCAAGGCACTTTTGCAAGACCAAGACCAAGACCGATTTTGCTCATCACTCATTGTTACGAAAACGTGTGTGGCGGCCTCTCCGCCACCATTCCCCGAAATTTGTAGAAAATATGTTTCTCGGACGCTTTCGCCCACATGTTGCAGCGACTGAAGTCGCAGGCCTAGGAATGCCAGGCATTAGCGAAAGCCAAGATTTTCCACGTCCGACAATTTTCCATGCGCACATCTGGCATGCACGTTACTGTTTAGAACGCGACGGTTCCTTGGGAAAGACCTTCGTTTCCACAGACTTTTTACCCCGCAAAACGGAGAGTCGTGTACGAATTGTTCAGGCTATCGCATCGTATCCCTGACGCTCTGAAGTTTTCTTCAATAAATATTATTATCGGTTTGTACCGTTAAGGTGAAATGAAACACGTCGAGGAACTTGATCGACGTCGATAAAGAAGATTTTTCTAAATGCCTACGTTCGTTTTTATATTTACAGCTGCGTTGAATTGTATTGGATATTGTACCAAATGGCATACTCCACCTGTCGTTTTCGTACAATAATTATAAAGAAATCGAAGTAAAACTCCAGCAATCCTCTGGATTCATGCTTTCTGGGGCCCTAATTGATTGAAGAGAGACCCCCTGCACCATCTGTGATTTCCAGGTCAATTAAATTTGCACTCCGAGACCTCGTATTACCATCGTTTTAGCAAAGAAGCGCATACAACACTTTTTTTGCCTTTATCCCGTTCAAATGCGAGTTTTTCGTTTACCAGAGTGTTCTAAATTGTCGTAAAATTCTCCTGACCCTTTCGTTTCTCATATCGGAGCCTTCGATAATTGTATATTGATCGAAATATGAGAACTTGACGCCATTTTGGTTCTGGTCTGGGCTAAGTTAAAAAATTTTGTCCAAAAATCAAAATTTTGAATGTGTCAGGACAATTCTTAGATGATCATGAGTCATGTATCAAAGTTTTGGACAGTTTGGTTCGATACCCTTAAAAAAAAGTGTTGTATTCAAATCGACTGATTTGAAGGGTGTTTCACTTCACCTTAATCTCGCATAGTTGTTTCGATTCCCTGCATCACCCCAACGTGTGACTGTCTCAAAAATGTGCAACAGTACTTATATCGAATGTACTTTTTGAATATCACAAATATGTGCAATTGTAAACGTGTCCCATGTACTTCTCATGTCATCGCTCTGTTTACCATGTATGACTATCGGACATGCAGTGTCATGGTTTGTCCCTCGATAATCGATTTCATACATAATCGCGTTTCATTTCTCGCATTACCGAAATGTAGTTCTACGTAAATATATGCAACAGTAAGACACTTGTTTCTTTTTGTTTTTTGTTTTTTTTTTACAATGTATTTGCCACACAGATTGATCGCACTGTTTGCGCTGTCATATCAGAAAATGCTACCGTATAAAAACAGAATATGCATTGCAACCAGCAATGTGCTTTGAAATTCCATTATAGCATATCATTAATATTAGGAGTTTTGAATATCTACACCGAGAGAAAAATAGTTAAATGAGCTATCTTCTAACTAGCTTTCATAGTTCGAAAAGGATTTGGATACTTTTTATAGTAAAATTAACTTTTCTGAATTAGGAAATCTAGAAACGGTTACTATATTTTTTTACCTTTTGGGAGAAGTAAAATAAACTATTCTACATTTACTATACTTTCCTGGGAAGAATAACGAAACTTTTTACTATCTATATAGTCAAATTTCACTTCATATTGTTAACGTAACTCATTTATCATCGTATATTTTACGTACTCAGATAGTATTATTAACTGTTGTGAATAGTTCAGGTCAACATTAAATCTTTTTACAAAAATATTTTTTCGTTATTATTGACGTTTATTCAATTTATGTTTGATGTGTTGATATTCTCGCACGTTTTAGCGTGAGTTAGGGATAGAGTTGTATCTTATTTGCTAACAAGCATTCCGTATCATTTGCGAGAAAGTGTCGCCATCTATAGATGCCGTCGAAACTAACTTGCACAACATTTTTAGTAACGTTCGGTACATATTAGAAGTTGATTTTACCAAACCGTAATGTTAAACCAGTAATATCGTTGCAGTTACTAAAAGTAGAGTAAATAACATCTTGCAACGAGAGTTGAACATATTTAAAAGGTAACCTAACAATTCCAAAATGATAAAATGCTTTCCTATAAATATTGTTACCGTTATTACAAAATTCGTACAAAAGCCAGAAGGATGCTCAACTATTAAAAAATAGTTGCAGCTACCAATTTATAGTAAATCAAACGATAAGTTGCGTTCCTATAACAAAAGTGGTTTTAAGGGTGTCAAATTTTACCAGCTCTTTTTCTCTCAGTATATAATCACTTTTATGATAAATAATATGTAAAAGTGTAGTAAAGCGGAGTGATCACATTACTAGAATCTGTAGAATAAAACAGCTTTAATCATAAAGTGTATCGGCAAAAGTAAAATTAATCAGTATTCGTTAAATATTTAAATAAAAAAATGTTCCGCGCACGCAAACACATAAAAAAAATTGTATCTCCAAACAAATAGTAAAGAATAAATATAGCGTAACTTTAATCATTTTTAAACAGAAATACTAGGTTGAACCGTAATGTCGTGCTGTTCTTTTCAACTCACCGATTGAAAAAAACGACACGAAATTATGGTCCAACCCATTACTAATTTAGATGCTTTTGTATTGTCCAAACTGTTCCCAATAACTGAATGTAAAAACCCGTATATTGAAAACATTTTTTCTACAGATCTGCAGATCGTGCTGCAATGCACAAAATGGGAATTATCGGATCGTGATTCGTATGTTCTCGAATTGCGGAAACAAATTGAACAATATTGATTTAACCTCATCTTTTACATTAGGAATTTATTTGAATAAGATATTTGAAAGGATCAGCGATTTTTTATTTTTTGAAAGAAAAGATTACACCTATCCCTCGATATACACTGAAAATAGGTTCCTTAGAAAACCGTGTAAATCGAAAACACACTAAAATGTGCATAATCCAGTCATTTATTTCAGCGTAAAATAAAACTAAATATATCTTAACCCTTTGAGCGCTGTCGACGCATATGTGCGTCCGACGTTTGGTCGAATATCGCTAGCACGCCCTGACGAAATTCGCCCATACGCCGAAAGTACTTAGCGCCCAAAGGGTTAAAAAACATAAAAATAACGGTCTATTCATAAAATGATAAAAATATAAAGGTATATGTATGTAATTCATTTTACATATAGAAACAAGAAGTATACTTGTATAAATTAAAAAATGTAACCAAAAATTTAATTACTGATCACTTTCGTAGACTACATATGTGCCCATAATTATGAAAGTGGTCCAAGTCAAAATTGAAAAAAAAATGAGTTTATCAGTTATTTCACGCCACATTATTTCAAACTAAATTAATTCAATGTAATTTCGAAACAAAAAATATATGACAGACCACTTTCATAATTATGGGCACATATGTAACGCGATGCCCTTTAGCGCGCCAAGAGATTGGCGCGGGCTCACGTCGTCAACTATGTATTCCGGATCTTCTCGAGTAAATTTAAAAACCGTGTAAAAGTGAAATCGTGTAAATAAAGTACCGTTTAAATCGGGGGATAGGTGTATATCAACCCTGTCTCGCGAGTATAATCGGGGCATTGGGCCGATCGTCAAGATGCTAAGTCTGTTCTAGTCACCTTACCAGTTCAAGGTATTTAGGATGCGTTAGGACCGTCTTGCCAAAGTCGATAGATCCGTAAACGACGGACTGCTCTTGTTCCCGTTCTAGAATCCCAGGTATGATGGACTGTGCGGTCACTCTGTATCCTCTGAAACATAAAATTGAGGCGAGTTAGAACGACGGTAGGATTGGCTCTCGTATTCATTAAGGTGATATGAAAGGGTCATTTTATATATATAAAACGTTAAAACATTTATAAAACTTTTCTTCGAACTGGAGATACCGAATCGTATCGAACTTTACAACGTAAACATGAAAACTATAAGGAAGGCCCTGATACCCATGAAATTTAATTTTTTTTAGAAACAATTTTTAAAATACCCATAAACAAATTATTTGAAAAATGAAATTTCATGAGCGTCGGGACCTTCCTTATACCCTCCATATCCACGTTGTAAAGTTTGAAACGATTCGATACACCCGATTCGAAGAAAAGTTTCATACACGACGACCCCTCAGATGCCACTTTCACATCCCCTTAAGCATTATTCACAATCGATTTACTGGTGGTAGTGCAGACATGTAGCGGTAACGCAGTGGTAGAACAGAACTAGTGTTCAAACTAGCTGTACGGACGTAGAAGGTCCTCTACAAATCTGTCATACAAAATAAACTCATAGTAAATTCTGATCGATATCCTGACAACTGAAATTTCAATTTTTTTTATTTGCTTATACCTTTTTAACAAATTTTTAAATTAAAAAGGAAAATTCATAAGTGTCAAGACCTTCCTTATAGTCTGTATATTCACGTTGTAAAGTTTGAAACGATTCGGTACATCCAGTTCGAAGAAAAGTTTCATAAACGATTGTCTCCTCAAATGCCACTTTCAAATCCTCTTAAGGTAAAGTGAAACACGTCGAAAAATTTGATCGACGTCGGTAAAAAAGATTCTTCTAAATATCTACGTTGCCGACGTTGGTATTTATGTCAACAACCGTGTCGAATTATGTTGGATAGTGTACTAAATGGCGTATTCCATATGTCGTTTTCGTATAATTATTATAAAGAAATCGAAAGAAAACTCCAAAAATATCCCGGATTCATGGTTTTCGATGCCCTAATTGACTGTAGAGTACCACCCTGCTCCATCTGTGATTTTAATGGCAACTAAATTTCCTCTGCGGGACACCTCACGTTACCATCTGTTTCGTCTCCAACGAGAAACATAGGGTCCTTTTAAGGTGAAGTGAAACACGTCGAGGAACTTGATCAACGTCGATAAAGACGATTTTTCTAAATGCCTACGTTACCGACGTTCGTTTTTATATTGACAGCTGGGTCGAGTTATATTGTGTATTGTACCAAATGGCATATTTCACCTGTCGTTTTCGTACAATAATTATAAAGAAATCGACGTAAAACTTCAGAAATCCTCTGGATTCATGCCCTCTGGGGCCCTAATTGACTGCGGAGGGACCCCCTGCGCCATCTGTCATTTCCAGGTCAATTAAATTTGCACTCCGAGACCTCGTATTACCATCGTTTTAGCAAAGAAGCGCATACAACACTTTTTTTGCCTTTATCCCGTTAAAATGCGAGTTTATCGATTACCAGAGTGTTCTAAATTATCGTAAAATTGTCCTGACCCTTTCGATTCTCATATCAGAGCCTTCAATAATTGTATATCGATCGAAATATGAGAGCTCGACGCCATTTTGATTCTGGTCTGGACTGAGTTAAAAAATTTTATTGAAAAATCGAAATTTTTAATGTGTCAGGACAATTCTTAGATGATCAAGAGTGATGTGTCAAAGTTTCGGACAGTTTGGTCCAATAATCTTAAAAAAAGAGGGGTCTTATTCGAAATGACTGACTTGAGGGGGGTTTCATTTCACCTTAACATACTTTAAGCACTTACTGCTTAAGGTGAAGTGAAATCCCTCTCAAATCAGTCAATTCGACTAAGACATTTTTTTTTAAGGGTATATGCCTTAGCCTAGTCCAGAATCAAAATGCCGTCGAACTCTTATATTTCAATCGATATCCAATTATTGAAAGCTCTGATATAAGAAACGAAAGTGTCTGGACAATTGTACACCGATTTAGAACACTCTGGTAGTCGATAAACTCGCGTTTGAACGGGATAAACGCAAAAAAAGTATCTTGCGCGTGTCTATGCTAAAACGATGGTAATGTGAGGTATCGGTGTGAAAATTTAGTTGACATGGGTATCACAGATGGCGCAGGGTGTCACTCTGCAGTCAATTAGGGCTTTAGAAACCATAAATCCAGGGGATTTCAGGAGTTTTACTTCGATTTCTTTATAATTATTGTACGAAAACGACGAATGGAGTATGCCATTTAGTACAACAGTCAATATAATACGACACGGCTGTCAAAATAAGAACGAACGTCGGCACCGTAAGTATTTAAAAAAAACCTTTTTTACCGACGTCGATCAAGTTCCCTGATGTGTTTCACATACCTTAAGGATTCATAGTCGGCTTACAAGGAAACAAGGTGACCCCGATCTATCTCTCCAATTTTGTGGGGTCCTGTATATGTTGTAGTGCATACAAAATACCAGCACGCAATATTATATACCTGCTAATGCACAAATCTATAAGATTAAAACCACCTCACAGTCGACCCTCCAGTAACAGACCTTTGACCTTTTTTTGTAAACGGAATATTTCTCGACCTGGTCACCTGTAATTTGTTTAAATTTAACCAACGATTCCAACAATATATTATGAATTTCGATTTTGAGAAAGTTAGCTGTCCTCGTACCTAGTGCGTAGCCGAGTGGTAATGCCGCGCGAGCGAGCAGTATGCAGTGCCAGGTTTTCAACCACTATGTGTAAGTAATATTTCATTCTCTCATCTTTAAGGACTACAGTTGCAATGTAAAATACAAACACGGTTACGTTCAGTTTTTACATTAATTCAATCTAAATATAAAACAATCATCGAATCGTGTAGACGGATTACATTGTTTTATATTTATATTATATTAATGTAAAAACTGAACGTAACCGTGTTTGTATTTTACATTGATACAAACACGGTTACGTTCAGTTTTTACATTAATTCAATCTAAATATAAAACAATCATCGAATCGTGTAGACGGATTACATTGTTTTATATTTATATTATATTAATGTAAAAACTGAACGTAACCGTGTTTGTATTTTACATTGCAACTGTAGTTCTTAAAGATGAAAGGATGAAATATTATTATACTTACACATAGTGGTTGAAAACCTGGCACTGCATATTGCTCGCTCGCGCGGCGTTACTACTCGGCTACGCACTAGGTACGAGGACAGCTAACTCCATTGTCTTATATTCTACGAATCACATTCCTTTGAACCCAAGGGGTAATTTACCCTTTTTTTGTATTGTTCTGGTCTATAAATTAACCAGGTTTCATTTGGATAGAGCAATTACTGCTCGCGTAAGGGGTAAAAGAAGTATTCAAAGGGGTGGCTCACCCCTTAAAAATGAATTTTTTCGAAAAATTCAAAATGCGTGTTTCATAATTCCTCATTCCCTACATTTTGACGGTTGTTTCATGAAAATCGGTCGAGTGCTTCTATATGAAACAGCCAACTCACCCCCTTGCATGGCCAACTTTGAAGCCTGATTTCACCCCTAATAGTGTTTATCCGCCGATAAAAAAAACACGGGTCCCTTAGATTTTAGTCCTCTATAACATATTTAAAAATGAACAAAATCGGAGGGGGACACCTCAGGTACCTTCCTTGTGAGAGTTAGATGAACAAAAGAAACAACGAAATTTAAACCCAAAGCTGTAACAATTGTAGTCTAGGTTAGGTTTTAAATCGTTTCCTCTACAATAGCCTTCGTTCTTTCATCATTACTTTTTCAGAATGAAAAATAACGTTACCAAATTACACCTGACATGAAACAACGGATTCATGTTGCTTCTTTTCCTTCGCCTTCTCAATTTTTTTTTTTGCAACTGCGAACCACCCGGAGCATTGATCGTTTTTAGAGAACAGTAAAACAGAATATTTTAAATTTGTCACGTTTAAATTAGTACTTCGTTTAACGCTGTGATGTTCAGCACTCAAACATGCCAATATGACCAACTACTCCTCCCCCCTCCTTCAACCCCGCAGGCAAATACCCAGTCCCTCTATTCCTACGTCCATGGTTTTACATCACCGATTCGCAAAGATCGACTGCCACTGCAACCTCGTTTCATCGCTAATTATGCACCACCCTGCTCTATAAAATTCCAAATGCAATATCTTCCGATAAGAAGGATGAAAAAATACTGGAAAACTACTGAAACTTCCTTGAGACTTCTTTTCCCCAGAAATGTAGAAGGATATATAAGTATTTATCTTTCGAATGAAACGAAAATAAATTTCGAAATGAAAACACCTTGGTATTCGAAACTTTACTTCTAGAAATGCATACCTATACACGGACGATACAAGTGACAAAGACTGTAGATTACTAAATTATGGCCCATGAAATTGTCCAAATCTCCCGAAGTTTTACAGAAATTATGTGCAAATCTAGGGTCACCCCGAAAAAATTACGCAGAATCCCCGACAATCCTCACTTTCAATAGAATGTACACGGAATGCATTAGCGAAACTATGCACCTCGAATGTCTCAAATGGTTATCGCAGTAAAATCAGTAAAATACGGTGATTATCTTTGTCACTTTTTCTTATATAATTTATTCGCGAATTTTCGAATTCTACTGCTCTGCCGCGACGTGCCTGCCCTACCACCGCATCAAGTCGATTATGAACGGTGCTTAAATCTCGGCAATGGTCAGCGAAAAACGCCGGGGGAATGGACGAGTACCTATAATCGATCACGACGGTCCCAAGAGTGTATAAACCCGGCAAATCGACCGCCGCATAAACCCTAACACCTTGTAGATCGTTGCGGGGCGCGACAAACGCCGCGGCGTCACCACCCAGTTCCTTGTAATGGTCCCGCACGTCGAACCCGAGGGAGAAAAAGATGTTATTCCAGATGAACATCTGCATCTTGGCTTCCTCGCCGGGGTTGATGGCCATCACGTTGCCGTCTATCACGGCGACGGCGCCACGGGTCGCAGCCGCTACGAAATCGCTGTGGACCTAAATAAAGGCGACGAGAGACCGTGAAAAAGGGATCGACAGGGTTAAATCTCGTCTCCGTATGATACCTTGAAGATCGCCCGCTCTCGTAACACCCTTTCCGGAAGATTCTTTCGGGGAAGCTCACGCGTGGTCTGCAACTCCTCGTTCCAGTCTCTCGTCTGTCCTGGGATGTGCTCCTCGTAGCCCAACTTGGAAGAGAACGCTGCAAGGAGATCGAAGCGTCACGCGTCGTTGCAAACTCTACCATTTGGTCGTTAACTAAAACCACGCAGTAGCATAAAAGCAGGTCTTACTTCCATATAAAAATAAGTCTACAGGGTGTAACAGAAATGGTGGACATGGTTTATAGAGCGCTATCCTAGTTGAAAAGAGATTCGAAAGTCCTGTACTGTTTCTCCCTACAGTGCATAATTTCCCCGTAATAATTAATTAAAGCACAGCCAATCAATCGCGTTCTTCAACGGAAAGCACAACAGAAGCTGCTATGCCGCAGACAGCCGAACGCAGCCCTACCGGCGTCCTCTCCACTACACGTATACCATTCGGGGATGCGATTGATTGGCTGTGCTTCCACTAGATATTACAGGAAATGTAGGGAAAAATTGTACAGGACTTTTCGAGTTGTTGTCAACAAGGATAACGCTATATAAACCGTAACTATCAGTTCTGTTACATCCTATATATCGCCATAAGATTCAGATAGGTGGAGAGATGATTACAGCGCCACCATCCGTTGGCTAACGTACTATTTATCGAGCAGCAAACGTCTGTATCCTTCTAGACTTCTATGGAGACTTCTAAAATCTTTACCGTTGGTTAATTTGGTTAAAAAACACGGAGTCAGAATTGTCCGGAAAGACCCATCTCTCCTACTGTTAGAAGAGCTCCGTATGTTACTTTGACAGAAACTTACTGTCTTCGGCGCGAATGGCATCAATAGTATGTTCAATGTGCGGGGCACACCAGGCATAGAGCTGATAGGGAGTGGCCACTCTCTCGAAGGGATGCCTCTGGGTCTTCCTGCGCTGCATGGCCGCGAATCCCCTCTTGAAGGCTGGGCTCAGCTGGTTCAGCAGCTCGATCAGGCTGTGGCATAGGTGACTTGGAGTTGCTGGCTTCGGGTTGAAGGTCTCCTTGGTCGACTGGTTAACGAAAAAGCCCCTGGCGCAGGCGGTCAGGTAATACTGCTTGTCCTCCAGAGTGACGACGTGCAGGTACATCAGGTCCCCGTGGAGTTTCCTGTGTCCCGGAGGAGGATTCCAGCCGGACGTCGTCAGCACCTAGGGGACAGGAATAGAGGTTCGCTTGAGAAAAGTGTAATGACACTTTTCCACGGGCAAGTAAAACTTGTGAGAGCTGCTCTCAATCGGTTGTTGCCATAGTCTATACGGTTTTAGAGATGAACTTGGCCAAGAATTTACACTCTACTGCAACCGGAAGTCAGGTCGCGTACACGCCTGCTTGAAGAAGTTGAAGTTACGCCAGATCGATTCAGTCCCGAAATTCTTGCTGCAAGTTGCGAACAGTTTCGTACGAGTTTTGAAATAAGCAGATGACCCCCCTTGCATCAGTTTCTTACAGGATTACTACGAACCTACGTTAAAAAACTAAAGTGGCCGAAATGAAATTCAATATAATGGAAATGCCGAGCCAATTCAAACCTTTATATGTCCCGATTCTGACCACATTAAAGTACCTTATCGTACCGTCATTTAAAAAAAAAATGTTTGCAACTAGATTTTAGAATTGTATTTCTCCCTGCACCGACTGCAGGGATTGCAACAGCTACCGTTTCGTTGAACGACACTTTCAATACCGAATATCTCGCGCTCAAGTAAAATTGTGACAAGTTGGTATTTATATTAACAGCCGTATTGAATTATATTGAGTACTGTACTAAACGGCATATTCCATGTGTCGTTTCATTACAACAATTATTAAAAAATCGATGAAAACACCAGAAATTCCCTGGATTCATGGTTTCTGATGCCCAAATTGACTGCATTGTGCCACGCCGTGCCATCTATGCTTTCAGTGCCAACTAAACTTCCTCTCCGAGTCTCCGCGTTACCATCATTTTAGCATAAAAGCGCATAAGACACAATTTTTCCTATATCGAGGTCATTGAAGCTAACATCCCCAGCACGTCCAGAATTATGAACTTCCGACCCATATTTATAATTTATTTATGAGTTCTAAAAAGGCGAAGAGAAAATGTTGAACTGTTACCGTTTACAATAAAATGATTTCAAAAATGATGAAAATGAATTCTGGGATGGGGGTGCTAGCTTCAACGGAAGCTAGCACTCCCACCCCAGATACAATTGTCAAAATAAAAATGAAGTACGCCAGATTTATGGCTATTTATGAGCTCTACAACGAAACCGAATACAACCCTCTCGCACCACCGAAATAAGGTAACCCTCCAGTACTACCGGTACTTGTACGAATTCATAGAATGCAGTTTTTTTCTACAATATTGCAACGAAGGATTTATGAGCCATTTATGAGCTCTTCGTAGAGCCCAAGCCCAAAAATCTGGCACCATCGGAAGGGAGAAACACCACCCCTTCACTTATACCCACGTACAGATATAACTAAAATTCCGTTTTTTGCAAATATTTTCGTGCTAGATTTACGGGCTACTTATGGGCTCTTTATACAGCTCCAGCCTAAAAATCTAACATTAAAGTATGTTCAAAAAAACCGAATTTTAATAATACCTGTATATAGACCTTATAGGGAACGGGTAGTTTACCCCCTTCCGGTCATGACAGATTTTCTGAAACTTGAGGTCTCTGTAGCACCCATAAATGGTCCATAAATCAAAATATTTGAAAGAAACCGGAATTTTAGTCATACGTGCTTGTGGGTATAAGTGAAAGGGTAGTTTTTCCCCCTTCCCATAGGGCTAGATATATAAGCTTGAACTCCACGTAGAGCTCATAAATAGCTCATCACTTTAGCATCAAAATGTTTTCCGAAAAACAGAATTTTAGTAATACTTTGTGACATGATAATTTTTGCCGCGTCACGACTCCCAAATTTCTGCCATTTTTCGCCTTTTAGAATGTTACAGGATCCATGGTCCGACGGTCACAGACCCGGGGGAGGGGGAAACGGGACATTTAATAGATTCATTTTGTTACGCCCTTGATTTCAGGTTAAGTTAACTATTATCGGGAACTCTCCCAATTGTCTGTAACGCATACATCATTTTTCGGAGTTCCAGGGCGCACTCTGGAGCGTTCGCCAGAATATTACGCTAATACTTGGCAGAACGCTGTAGGACTCGCAAAGTTTCCGCAACCTGTAGCAAAATTCCGGCCGTCAGGCCCGAATATAAATACCGTCGACCTCACAGAGGTCGCGCGCGCGCGCGCTACCGCTCGCCGACCCGGCGTCAAGGAAGCCACGGCGCACAAAGTGCTCAGGACCGAGCGCACCAACTGCGGTGCTACGGCCAAGCCGTCAGACTCACCCGGAGGGTCGAGTACCCCGGCCTCGCTACACACCGTAGTGACCTTGCCTGCTGGGGCGGGTCGTAGACGGGCCTTGGCGGCTCGGGTAGGCCGCAGGAGCCCCAAGACTACCCGGCCAGGAATCGGACCTGAAGGCGGGAGCTCCCAAGAAGAACCTGCCTGCCACCGACAGGGAGAAGATGGGATGCCGTGTCTCGGGACGGAGCAACAACTTCCGGGCCAGGAGCCCGACCACATCCTCATCGGAGTAGCCTATCCGATGATCTGCCCCGAGTGAGCCAGGATCCCCCGGAGGGGAAAATTTCGGCCGCTGTAAACATCCAGGCGCGCCGGAGCCCGACGGGCCACCGATCGCTACGGCCGCGGCATCGCCGGCGAATCGGAGCGCGTAAGGCGCGCGCCACCGTTGCCCAACAACCGAGCCATCGCAACCCCCGGCGCCAGGAAATGGGCCAACGCACGCCGAGTCCTCCAAAATCAGAAAATTAACCGTTTGAGTGCCACGTGTCTTTGCTGTTTTCCCGTCCAAAAGTGCCAAGGAGCGCTTTGTCGCTTGTCGTATTACCTCTCCAAAAGTGCCAAGCGGCGCGATAGCGCTTGTCTTATTCCCCGATTAAAAATGCCAAGGAGCACTATTGCGCTGTTTTCTGCTCTATACGGTAAGCGGTAATGTTCGACTGAAATTAAAATTCGTTCTTTTACCAGCTGTCTCATTCTTTTACTTTTACCTAAAATGGAATGGTAACCGTAAAGTCGCGCATCGACGGAAACCGAGCGTGTCGCGGTTATCGGCTTCGCAGCCTAGAACGCTGGTGCTGTTCGAGCGACACAGAAGAAGCGCAAAATCGCTCCTTGACACTCAAACGGTTAAGGAGCGTCTCGACCAATTAGCGGCACGGATTAGGATTCGGTGAGGCCAGCCCAATTCCTACAAAACCGAGCGCAAGGAAAGCTCCAGCCTTCTCTGCCTTCAACCGTCGGACCGAGTGGATCATCGAGCAAGTAGTTTTCTTTAAAATTGTGAGATTATCTGCCTGGATTGTCTTACGAGCGCCTATGGATCGCGAGGACTTCCCGGCTCATCGAGGGACTTCAGCTGAGGAGCCGGCGAACAGCGGCGCATTTTCTATATCGCACTAAGTGCCAGGTGTCCGTCCGAGGCTTCCTTTTGTTGGTACGTTGCCTAGAGTCACCAGTTAGTGTTTCTTGAAATCGTTTAGCCCGGATAGTGTCGCGCCGGTGAACGAAAACATACCACGGAGTCGGTCTTCCAGAGTCTCACGCAGGCGACCTTCCGGTTTTCCCTGGTGGGGCCTACGGTGAGAGAGACCGGGCACTTGTTTGGCCTCCCAGGAGGCCGCTGGGTTCTTCGAGCGGACACGGGAGGAACTTTCCTTTGTTGCGTCGTGTCCCAACATTTTTTATCGCGTCATTTTTGTAAAAGCGCGTAGTTTGAGAATTAGGTTGTCTGGTCGCAAAAATTTACTTGATTTTCCTCGCGAAGATTTGTCAATGGTTTTGGTCTTCGTTGAGGTAGTTTGCTGGTGCATGAATTTCGATTCCTTCTTGTCTTCACGGCCAGTATTCGAGTCAGTTAGGATTGTCTAATTGTCTTTCCCTCAGGATTGGGGGCGGAGAAGCCTCGCGGCGACCACGTGGTCGCCGCGTCCGCGACTGATTTTTCTCGTTTGGAGGGCCCGCTTGTCTCCCGTTTATGATTATTTTTGCGTTAATCTAGAGTTTGCGAAGCGTAGAGATTATTTCGGGTAATTAACTCAGAGTCGTATTTTCTCGCGTAGCTTTAAGTAAATCTGTTCATGAAAGCGAGCGCATGTTATTTTCTTTGTAACTGATTCTCAGTCTCAGTGAACCATTTTTTTTTATTTTTGATTTAAACCGAATCCGTTTTTTGAGTTTCCCTACCCATTTAATTTTCTTAGCGTTTAGAATTGGCGGTTAAGTTATGGAGTTGAACTCCCGAAATATTGCCGATCGGATTCTCGTTCTATTGTCTCGCCCTTGATCGATGCCTTTCTTCTACCGAGTCTAAATTGTCTCTCGCGCATAATTTCCCGGCGAGAATTCCTCGCTCGAATCTATTTTCTTTTGGGGCGACCTTCCGTCGAACCTCGTGTTTCTCCGTAATTCTCTTGTCTGCGGCCCAAATTGTTACATAACTTATTTTTCTAAATCTTTTATTGTTCAAATAAATCCGTGAATTTTCTTTATTAGATTGGTTCTTGTTCGAAATGTCTGGCCTGAACTCTTTCAATTTCCCCTGTTCGAGTTTCCCACAATTAATTTAATTTTTCCTTATCCCGTAGTCTGATCTTACCCCGTCCTTCGCACCTTGGCGCGGACATTCTGAGTTAGCCGGCCGCGTCGCGACGATCGTCGAGGTGGAGAGATCGTTCGAGCCTAATTGTTGCGTACATACATCCTGACACATTAGATTCAACCACATGTTTAATAATCGGATTTCTCAAACTCTCAGGATTTCAGCCCCAATGCCGAGAACAACTTTCCTTGGCGTTTCTTTATCGCTTTACAGCGGTCGTAGCAATTTATTTTAAACGTCGAACCGAGCGACGTATATTGCTTCACGCTCACGGTTTCATTTATTCTTTAAAACACCCTTGGATTTGCTAAATTTCCGGTTTCAAATGGTCCAACCCTAATAAACCCATAAAAAGGTTGACTCCAAGGCGCCCAAGTGTTCGACTACCTAGTGGTACTTGGAATTTTCCGTGCCCGGGCAACTCTTGTCGATCTCGAACGACCCCATGTGCGAGTCACCAGGGACACTCAAGGACGAAGTAAAGGGAGGCACCTAAACATTTGGCACGTCCAAGGGAGTTAACCAATCGGCATTGGAGGAATCACACTTTTACAATTTTTGGTTTTTTTTTTCCGAAAAAAACTCAAGTAATTTCAGAATTTCCAACATTACTCCTCCCACACGATTCTCTGATTCGAGAATCTCAAATTTGTTAAACTCCCACCCTGCGAGGGAAGCATGCGGACGCTACCTTCGAGAGCTTTGCGATCCTCGAAGAGTTTTACTTGGTTCACTGCTTTCAATCGGTCGACTTGGTTCCCACATTTTAACCAGTCGACTTGATTCACTAACTTCAACCAGTCAATTCTCAACAAGAGAATATCGCACACGGATTTCAACAGAAATCACCCGACCATAAGATCAGCTTAGCTCAGGTCCACATTCATTTAAAAACCAGCCGTACAATATTAAGTTGGCGTACGGTCGTCGCGTTATCTTCGTGTTCGCAAGTTTAATTGCAAATCGCGAGGTCCCAGATTTACGCCCCGAGGACAGCAACAAACGCTCACGTGGACGACGCGACGGTACACTAATAATTGTGAGTTTTATTTTGTGATTATTTGAGATTTTGGGTCTTCGAGATTGTCGAAAGTTGAGAGTTTGTTTGATTGGCTCCAGGGAGGCCTGGCGCCCAATTTGTATCTCGCACCTGGTGGAATTTTTCGTTGAGTGGCCCGAACGGCTCCGCCTAGGCGACCGGGCGAAGATGAGCGATCGTCCAGGCGCTGCGGGCCCGGAACCCTTCCCCTTTATCATTAATTTCGTTTCATTCGTCGCAGCCTATACGTGGGCATGAGCCAAGGAGTAGTTTTCCCCCCTTCCGGTGGTGCGAAATTTTTAAGCTTGGGCTCTATGAAAAGCTCATAAATAGCTCAGAAATCAAAATATTTAAAAAAAAACGGAATTTTAGTCATACCTGTATGTAGATATATGGGGAAGGGGTTGTTTACCCCCTTCCGGTAGTGCTAGATTTTTGGGCTTGGGCTCTACGAAGAGCTCATAAATGGCTCATAAATCCTGCGTTGTAGAAAAAATTGAAGAAAAAAAAACTGCATTCTATGAATTCGTATATAAATTATAAGTACGGGGGGGGGTTACCCCTTTCCGATGGTGTGAGTGGATTCTATTTGGTCTCGTTGTAGAGCTTATAAATATCTCATAAATCTGGCGTAATTAATTTTTTATTTTTACAATTTTTTCTACGGTGGGGGTGCTAGTTTCCATTGAAGCTAGCACCCCCACCTTTTAAGAACTCATAAATAGCTCATAAATATGGACCGGAAGTTCATAATTCTGGCCATGGTGGGAGTACTAGATTCAATGACTTTTATCCCGTTCGAATGCGAATTTCTGGATTACTAGAGTATTCTAAATCATTGTGTGGCGGTCATAGCATATATATATTAGAAGTTCTTCCTTCGACACGGGCCTTAGATAGCTCAGCGGTTACGCTCACCGCTCATACCATGTAGTCTCTCGGGTTCAAATCCCGCTCAGGAGAGATTTTTCGGTGTCTAGGGCAGGGTCTGCCTGATAGCCTTACTGACGAGTCCACACAGGCAGACCAGGGACGAAACACAACAAACAGGGCACACCATAACACCACATCTATACCCAAAATTGTTTAATTGTCCTGACAATTTCGTTTCTGATATCAGAGCCTTCAATAATTGGATAACGATCAAAATATGAGAGCCCGACGCTATTTTGGTTCTGGTCTAAGCTAAGTCAACATTTTTCTTCGAAACTCCAAATTTGTAACATGTCATGATAATTCTTAGGTGCTCAGGAATCATGTGCCAAAGTGTCTTATTCGAGTCAACTGATTTGAGGGGGGTTTCATTTCACCTTAACGCACGGTGGGGACTTCTGTTCCTTGGCCTGGGGCTGCAGGGGCAAGAGCGGCCTCTCCTTGCAGCCCGGAATTATGTAATCCGGAGGAGTGCAGTCGACGGACTCCGGCCTGGTTTTCTTCTTCTCGAGGATGTCGCCGTTGGTCACGACGTTCAGGAAGGAGAGGCTGCTACACTCGACACCGTTGTACGCGTCCGCGGGATCGACCGACTTCAACAGGTCCCTGACGTGCCTGACGTGGATCCTGGCCTCTCGCATCGTATAGGGCTCCTCGACCACCTTGATGACGGAACCCTCTTTGAGGCCCTCGATGTTCTTTAACTCGGCGAAGTTGTCCAACGTGTTTCCCTCGAGTTGCAGGGAAAAGCAGGTCCGGTGGCACGTATCCTCGCGGTCCATTAGCAGCTGGTGGATTTCCTGATGGGAAAAGACACAACGCGTTTAGACTTACGACCTTACGATCACTAAGCCCGATCCATCTAGAAATCCTTGATAACTAATCTCCACAAAAAACCATATAGAGGAAAGCGGGGCAAAGCGATCATCGACTGCTACATGACCAAGTTTTGCTGCAATCTCGCAGCGGCTCGTTTAACTATCTAAGGATGCAGTTTTCAACAATTTCTTGACGTTTATGTTAATATCTGGCATGTGGTGGATAAAGTGGTATCAAATGGATCAACTGATTATGAAACTTTTCGCCCAGATGGGTATACCGAATCTGGAAACTTTACCACCCAAATATCGAGGAGCTAAGGAAGGTCCTGCCACCCATAAAATTTCTATTTTAATTTTGTTTATAAGTATATTTTTTATTTAAAAAATGAAATTTCGTGGATGTCAGAACCTTCTTCAAGACCTCCCTACCTTAAGGTGATATGAAACGGACGTTTGAAGTGGATCTTAAAGGAGAATGGTACAGCATTTTCTCTGTATGCGTTTTCACACCTACGAGAGCAGAAAGCGGGCAAATTTCGTACCCAAAAATGTTTGTACAGGATATACTTTGAATAACTCGAATGGATGATATAGCCTTCTAAAAATATAACTTTTCTTGCGGAGCCAAATTTTTCAGTTATTTGTCAGAACAAATATAAACAAAGAGTAAAAACCTGTAATGGCAACCCACGAATCTCTTATGGCAACCCAACATGGCCTGTGTCCACGAAATAGTATAAGGAAACAAAACGCCAATGGTCGATTTCACAGAAAGTGACTTCAGATTCGAGACCCAGAATCTCAGATTTTCGCTGATCTAACGATGCGAGCGCTACTTACGGAAAATGAGATAACTCCAATCTTACATGACCAAAACATTTCCTACCGGCGTAAATTTCCTAAAATGCTATTAATTTTCCAATTAAGGTGAAGTGAAACACGTCGAGGAACTTGATCAACGTCGATAAAGAAGATTTTTCTAAATGCCTACGTTGCCGACATTCGTTTTTATATTGACAGCTGTGTCAAATTACATTGAATATTGTACCAAATGGCATACTCCATCTGTCGTTTTCGTACAATAAATATCAAGAAATCGAAGTAAAACTCCAGAAATCCACTGGATTCAAGCTTTCTGGGGCCCCAATTGACTGCAGAGGGACTCCCTGCGCCATCTGTAATTTCAATTAAATTTCCACTCAATTAAATTTTCGTCAATTAAATTTTCACTCCGAGACCCCGTATTCCCATCGTTTTAGTATAGAAGCGCATACAACTCTTTTTTGGCCCTTATCCTGTTCAAATGCGAGTTTATCGATTACCAGAGTGTTCTAAATTGTCGTAAAATTGTCCTGACCCTTTCGATCCTCATATCAGAGCCTTGGATAATTTCATATTGATCGAAATATGAGTGCTCGACGCTATTTTGGTTCTGGTCTGGACTGAGTTAAAAAATTTTGTTAAAAAATCCAAATTTTCAATGTGTCAGGACAATTCTTAGATGATCAGAAGTGATATGTCAATGTTTCGGACAGTTTGGTCTAATACCCTTAAAAAAAAGTGTTGTATTCGAATCGACTGATTTGAAGGGTGTTTCACTTCACCTTAAGGTACGCAAAGTGAAACGATATTCCGCGGATGATATATGACAAAATGTGATGTTTTTAACATACTAAAGACTGCGGACCCGCTAGCAGATGATAATTTTTAATTTCAAAAGTTTATCAAGAAGGCGCTCTCCAACCTAAGTCAGGAAAAATCTGAAGACCTTGGAAGTGGGGACAATTTCAAAACATGGCGTTGTATCTCCTTATACTACTTCGTGTTGTGTCGTTACTCGTTCGATACCTTAATTGACCGTAGAGTGCTGCCCTGCGCCATCTGTGATGCCAGTGTTAACTAAATTTTCTCTTAGAGATCTCGTGTTACCATTGTTTTCGCATAGAAGCGTGTAAGACACTTTTTTGCTTTTGTCCCATTCAAATGAACGTTTTTTTATCACCAAAGTGTTCTAATAATTGTACAACTGTTCTGACACTTTCGTTTCTCATATCAAAGCCTCCAATAATTGTGTATTGATTGAAATATGTGATCTCAACGCCATTTTGCTTCTGGTCTAGACGAAGTTAAACAATTTTTTTTCGAAAATACAAATCTTTTAATTGTGAGGATAATTCTTAGGCGTACATAAGTCATGTATCAATGGCTCAGACACTTCGATCTACTCTAAATAAAAAGTATCTTACTCGAATCGACTGATTGGAAAGGGCTTCTATTTCACCTTGAAAAATATGTCTTAAGATTTTAACACTAGAACTACCGACAAATTTTTTTTTTATAGGATGGGCCATTTGAAACCAGTCATTTAGACTGGTCTTGGTTGTTCTAGTGTTAATAAATGCGCCACAGAATGTTTAAATTCAATTTGCAATCGTTTGATAACGCATTAAATTGAATAACTTGCTCGAAGGCAAAGTGGGTAGTTCTCATGGCCACTTTGCCCAATGCACATATTTATCATTGAATATTCGTGTATAAATTTAGTATAACGATAAGTTTACGTAGCAATATACATTGTTATACTAGAAATAATTTCATCCATAAATTTGCGTTTTTTTTTGCAAGCAGTCACAAGAAATGCAGTCCAACTACAAAAGAACATCTAACCAACAATCTTGGAATCCCACTACAATGCTTGCTGTAAAGAAGAGAATGATGACTTTAGATGCAATGAATGTCGTCGCAAATCATTTTTTATTTCCTTATTGCATACCGTAGCTCTCTACCTAGCCACTTTGCTCTTCATAGCCTGATATATAACAGAGAAAATTAGTAAACTAAACAATGAGCATCGCACACCAAAATTCTTATACAATACTATAATGTATTCATTCTGCAATAAATCTACTATATCCTATTAACCGTTCAACAATTTATTGGTGTACGTTGTCTCCGAATGAATATTGGAGCTTAAAATGCCCATATTCCCCAGCCTATCTCTACATCAAAGAGATATAGTTTCCACATGTAGGATGCTTCTGACGTTCCTCAAAATAAACTCTTACGTCAAAAAAACTCCGCAGTATCTCGTACCTGTACGAGCTCCATGCTCGAGACCTGGATGTCGAAGGGTTCCGCACCTGGACAAACTATCTTTACAGTGAATCCCATGTCTTGAATGAAAACCATCTCCTGTTCAGAGTTATTCGCCTCCTTGTCCTTGTCTTTGTCTTTGTCCTTATCCTTATCTTCTTTCTCAACTTCCTTGAGTCCCTCCTTTTCATCCCTTCGCTCCTTCTCGCTCTCCATGGTCTTTTCCTTTTCACCTTCCTTCGTAGATTCTACTTCTCCCTTCTCCACGACGTTCTCCGAGGAGGCCGTAGCAGATTCGTTGTCACCGCCACCCCCACCTCCACTGTCGCCACCGCCATCCTCGTCTGAGCTCTGCTTCACAGTGTCTGCAACAAGACGGAAACCTCAGAAAAATTGCCAGCTTTAAGGTGAAGCGAAATACGTCGAGGAACTTGATTAACGTCGATAAAGAAGATTTTTCTAAATGCCTACGTTGCCGACGTTCGTTTTTATATTGACAGCTGGGTCGAATTATATTGTGTATTGTACCAAATGGCATATTCCACCTGTCGTTTTCGTACGATAATTATAAAGAAATCGAAGTAAAACTTCAAAAATCCTCTAGATTCATGCCTTCTGGGGCCCTAATTGACTGCGGAGAGACCCCCTGCGCCATCTGTGATTTCCAGGTCAATTAAATTTTCACTCCGAGACCTCGTATTACCATCGTTTTAGCAAAGAAGCGCATACAACACTTTTTTTGCCTTTATCCCGTTCAAATGTGAGTTTATCGATTACCAGTCTTCTAAATTGTCGTAAAATTGTCCTAACCCTTTCGATCCTCATATCAGAGCCTTCAATAATTGTATATTGATCGAAATTTGAGAGCTCGACGCCATTTTTGTTCTGGTCTGGACTAAGTTAAACAATTTTTTTTTTTAATCCAAATTTTGAATGTGTCAGGACAATTCTTAGATGATCAGGAGTGACGTGTCAAAGTTTCGGACAGTTTGGTCTAATACCCTTAAAAAAAAGTATTGTATTCGAATCGACTGATTTGAAGGATGTTTCACTTCACCTTAAGCAACCAAAATATCACTGGGATACCCTTTAGTTTGTGAATAACGCGTAACTGCTGAGTTACGGTCTCTCGGACCTTCGCCCAACTCTTTCCTAGTGTATCTTTTGCCGCAACTATCTTTAGAAAGCGGTTTCTTTCAAAGCTCGGAAAGAAAAATAACAAAATAAAAACGGATTCCAGAAACCCCACCTTACTGACGGCGTTACTAAAATGTCACCTTACCCGTTATGTGTTACTGTCATACTTGACGAATTTTTAGACAAATCAACATACAGTGCTCATTATATATCTGTTTTTGCACGTGTGTGTGTGTGTGTGTGTGTGTGCGCGCGCGCGCGCACTTTACACATTACTCGAGGCGGACGAAACTCATTATAAGACAAGAGGTTAGGAAATCGATCACCGATCAAGGGAGACCGGCCGTTCGACGAGTTGCATTTGCATTAACCCCCAACACCTTATAAATAAACCTAAATGTAAATAAGTGCACGCCCGGATGCCGTACTATTTCCGTCTGCGATTTGGAAGGCGGTCGGGCAGCCGTAAAAAACAAGCCCTGTCACGGGCACTTCTCCCTCGAGCTCCGTCTTCCCAATCCCTTCGAAAACAGAGATAAACGTCATTCCCTTAACGGCCGTTTTATCACGCTCGATGTTATCCGAGTTGACGATAAGATCCAGACATCTCTCCTACCCGGACGACGACAGGGAAAGCCCCGACTCGCATCTCGACAACGATCGGTAAGGTCACTCTCGCTTCCGAATCATCCGCTCACCATGTGTCGTCACGCCTGATTAGCTCGCGCGCCGCCATCTTGTTTCACGCACTCACCGATGGACAGGGCAGGGTTGGGTGAGTATAATACGCCAAGTAATATACGTGATTTTTTACACGTATATTACAACGTATAATACGTCCCTATTTTTCCTCGCGGGCACGAAATATATTACTCCAAACTAAGTGTACAAAGCGCATGCGCAATATCGTTAATAGCCAATGAAAGTTCACCTATTTACCTCTAAGAGAGATTCTTATTGGCTATTTAGGGAATTGCGCTTTACGGATCCACAATTTCGCGCACATTCGAAATCAGCTTTGGAAGTTTGAAATGTATGCATATATGTGCATTTGAGGTTTGTTTATAACGGTTGATAACGGTTATTTGAAGTCGTAAGATTCGTAACCAATATTTGTATCAAAATGTATAAAGGTGGAAGACCAAAAAGTAAATTATGGGATGAATTATAATTATTATTCATACCTACTGTTACGTCGGGCGAATCGCCCCCGTAACGCCGAATCCCTCAGGACAATTCTTAGATGATCAGAAGTGATATGTCAATGTTTCGGACAGTTTGGTCTAATACCCTTAAAAAAAAGTGTTGTATTCGAATCGACTAAGTTTATTAAAAATAGGGTGAACTTGTGATGTGGCTTGCGCCCTTCGTTATCGTCGTTGTCGTCGTCGTCGTCGGTTTCGGACTGCCGTCCCTGCTCGCTTCGGGACGGCTTCGGACCTCCATGTCCCTTTTGTTTCGGAACACGTGGATCGCACGTTTCCCGACGTAGCCTTCGAAGGAAATCTTCGGTTTCCTTCGAAGGAACTTTCTCTTTTATTGTTTTATGGTTTGCCAGGCGCATCCTGGCAGACCCCTTCAAAACTTTCCTTAAAACTACCTAAAAATAACTTAGGGCTACTTTCCGTTACTACATATATATAAAAGAAAAGAAAATATATATATATATATATGAATAAACATGTAATCCACACATCCTCCTGAAATAAAGAAAATCTGCCTACGCAACGTAGGTCACGTAGGCAGAAACCAGCGTCAGAATTTTCTAGAAGGCCCTTAACAACCCCAACGTGTTGCTAAGGGCGATAAGGCCCAAATGTAAAAGCGAGAAAGACGTGGAAAAGTCGACCGCCACAAAAAATCCAGCGGCGCCCATCCCTTGGACTCCCCCTGAGCTCCCCAGACCCAGCCGGTTGCCCATCTTCCCGGTTCCCAAATTTGAGAACCGTATGGAAAATCGGCAACCACGCTTCTCGACCAATATATAAGGAGGTCCTTCGAGCCGGGCGCGGAGAGAAAATCGGGAGTGAAAGTCAGCTGCAGAGCCTAATTTGTCCAACGAAGTTTCCAAGGCGATCCTAGCCATCGAAACTTCTAGAATCACAACGAACAGGGAAAACCGAGTTCCACTGGTTTCTCACAAAGTCAAGGTAAAGGTCGACTCCCACGTCTCTCTCTCTTTCTTTTCATCTTTGATAGGTCCGCTCTAATCCTCTTTTACGTAAGCGCGGTAATGTAATCCTGTTCCGAATTTCAATAAATTAGTTTAGCTTTGTTTTCCTTTAAAGATCTCTTCTCGTGTAGCTAGCTTCCCATATTCGAATTCCTCACGGTTCCAACTCCCTATCCACGAAAATCCGAGTGAGTAGGCATTGCCTTGCCACCCCCCGGATTACCAACAAGTCGAGATTCTTGGAGCAGTCGCAGTTGTCTTGCTTCGCCCTGGTACTCGACCCGAATACTCCGATGATCTGAGTAAGCCAGGCTTGGTTTTGCCACCCCTCGGATCATCAAATCGCTGATTCCCGTGAAAATTATCCAACCGGTTCCTTCTCCGATCTCCTACAACCCATTCTTAAGGTGAAGTGAAACACCCTTCAAATCAATCAATTCGAATACAACACTTTTTTTTAAGGGACCAAACTGTCCGAAACTTTGACACATCACTCCTGATCATCTAAGAATTGTCCTGACACGTTCAAAATTTGGATTTTTTAACAAAATTGTTGAACTCAGCCCAGACCAGAACCAAAATGGCGTCGAGCTCTCATATTTCGATCGATATACAATTATCGAAGGCTCTGATATGAGAATCGAAAGGGTCAGGACAATTTTACGACAATTTAGAACACTCTGGTAATCAATAAACTCGCATTTGAAAGGGGTAAGGGCAAAAAAAGAGTTGTATGCGCTTCTATGCTAAAACGATGGGAATACGGGGTCTGGGAGTGAAAATTTAATTGACTTGGAAATTACAGATGGCGCAGGGGGTCCCTCTGCAGTCAATTGGGGCCCCAAAAAGCTTGAATCCAGTGGATTTCTGGAGTTTTACTTCGATTTCTTGGTATTTATTGTACGAAAACGACAGGTGGAGTATGCCATTTGGTACAATATTCAATGTAATTCGACACAGCTGTCAATATAAAAAGGAACGTCGGCAACGTAGGCATTTAGAAAAATCTTCTTTATCGACGTTGATCAAGTTCCTCGACGTGTTTCACTTCACCTTAAGTCTTATGTAGATTTAATCACTGATAAGGAAAAAGAAAAAATTGATGAAGCACTTGCAGAAATGTACTTCGGATGTAATATAGATTTTGATATTGTCGAATCTGATTACTTTAAAAAATTCGTTAAAATGTTGAGGCCAGCATATGCGTTACCAGAATCCAAGGATATTTCTACCATTCTCCTGGATAAGGTTTTTTACAATATTTGACACTGGCACTGGCAATTTTAAAAATGCTCCAGCAATATTATTTCTCTGCATAAAAGAACATGATAATGGAAAGAGTATGTTAGGTTTCGTTAATAATTTAAACAGCAAAACTGTTTTCCTGAAATCTTTCAAAATTTCGACAAATGAAGACTATGCAATTAAAGAAGTTAATGAAATTGCTGTTACAGCTGTTAATTTAGCACAACGCATGTATTGCTCACACATCTTTGCTGTTTTGTCCAAAGAAAAATTGATCAAAAATAATAACAGCCTAGATGTTTATTTCCTGCAGTACAACGTAAAACTAGTACATATTGTTGCCGAATCGTTAAAAAATGCAATTCTTTATCGCAAAGCTTATCTTCGAAGAATGCATCAACACTGACGATTTGTTGAAACATGTAAATCATATTGAAAATGTAACGGAATTCAAGAACATTGAGACTTGGATTACACATTTTCATATATACTCATTTTTTGTACAAAATATATATTTTGTAAGAAAAGTGGCAGGTGAATGTCAACATATGTTTAATCCAGAGATTACGACGTTGCTCTTTGATCACAGTTTACATTCAGAAATAAGTACACTTTCTGAAAATTATTCATCAGTGACTGAATTAGTTAATATGTTTGAAAAAAAGATTGCTACATTGCTGATGCAGTAGAAAATTTGATAATATTTCGCGATAATACCGAATATGTTTTATTTAGAACTGCAATCGAAAAATATTGGAAAAAAAATAATGCAGCCGATCGCTTTAGCCGCTAATCTAGTGCATCCAAAAT